TATATAATGTTTGATAAGCGAATTGATGTGTCTATCCCAGTGGCCTCTCCAATCATCGGACGGACACACGGCTACGCAGCTTCTAAAGCTACTGGTGACGGATTTTAGACTTTACACCTCTTATTATAGAGTCCTCAGTCTATCTGCTGTCCCTACCGCCATTTCGCATCTTTCTCTGTCCTGTCTGGAATCGATTAAATTTCCAAGGAGGGTTGGCGTCAGACAGACGGGGGGACGTAAATGAAAGCAGAAACCCTTATATTGCGTCGATCTCAAATAAAATTAGTAAAATGTAACTATAACTACATCTAAAAAGCCGATACTTCATTAAGTGTTTGTTTAAAAAATATATAAATTTTTTTTTAATGGTTTATAGGCCTTTGGCATAGAGAATTTACAATGAAATGTTCGGCAAAACTAAAATACGGAATAAAAAAATAACTACTGTACATATAATACTCTGCCAATTTATTTATTTATTTTCTAATTGACAATTCAATAGATGGTCAGTTAGTTTAGTGATGAACTAGTGCCCTAGATCGTTGAATATTATTATTTAACAATGGATTTTATTGACTACGAGGATTTAATGGATTTTAAGAAAACAATAAGTTAGGTAATTTTATAAAAACCGTCGTCTAATTAAGTATTATACATAAGAGTTATAATCTACCGTGTCTCATCTTTAATTTGTTCATAGTTTATGTTTAGCTAATCTTTTTAAGAAGAATAGACAAAAGACTTTTGATATCGATATATCAAATATCGAATTTGAGTACCTTTAAATTCGAGCTTTTTTATTGCGTAATATATATTTAAAAAGAAATACTATATGTATGCACAGTATTATAATTTCAACGTATAGTTTTAAATAAATTATAGGAAAATAGCTATAATTTTTAGCAATTTTTTAAACTTAGCTGTCAGAAAAAAAAACTAATGTACAGACTATAAAAGTGTATATTTTTGTTTTTTTTTCTCATGAAAAACAAAATTCCTCTAAATTGGCATAATGGTTCTAAAGTATAATTACCTACCTACCTGCACAGCGTAATCTATCAAAAATCCTCTTGACTCTCGATTCCCGATTGCCAAAAAACAAAATTTCATTCGGCGTCCATTTTTCATGCCTGGATGTGGATGCCATGAAGTAATCGAAATATTCGATATCATTGAATTCTAAATATTTCACAACGGATTTTTAATTATTCCTGGGCTATTGACAGCAAATATGGTGATGCAATGAATACCATTTATTAAACGTAAAATATTTCTTAATAGTTAGGTATAATAGGTACCTAAATGTTTATTTTTGTTCCAAAAATAATACCAGAAACTTCAACAAAATATATTTTATTATTAAAACGTTTAGTCATAATGATATTTGCAATTTGGACATTATCAGTTCATAAAAATGGTTGCCATTTTGTTTTATAGTAAGTCCGTTCAGTCTTTTGCGAGGACTATTTTAAAAAAACTCAGGCCTTAATAGGATATATATCTTAACATTATCTTGTTGAAAGTATAAAAACATAACTTTTCACGTTAGCATTAAAAACTACACGTTTTCTATTTCTATCATAAAGTCAATTCTGTCCTTGGCAAATGGCATTGACGAAATGCGACGTTGCCGCTCCGCGATATTACGCTGTACCAGTACATGCGAAACGGCAACGTTGCGTCGTATTTCCCAACGATTTTCAGTGGAAGGTAAATTTTTGTCGCTACGTGAATTCTGTGGCTATTCTCATCGTATTGGCCGAATAGAGACTGCCATTGCTTATTATGCTATAAAGTATATATGAAGATCTCTCTGAATAGTATTGATTTTTAGTAATGAATTTAGGAAATTGGTATCTTATTTTGCAATTATAAATGTATGAGTAAAATATGTATAAAACTATAGAATGTTTACTTTAATTTATGGAGATAAAATCTTATTTACAATTTGATTAGAGGAAGTGAGAAATACGATAGTAGGTACTAAGATTACGGTGAACAGTCCGAAAACATTGCAACTGTGGTATTATTCTTGATATAGAGAGCCATTAACCTTCTATTTTACGTTTGAACTTATTATAATTACTTACTTTAAAAAAAAAGGAAAGCAAAACCGACTTTAATACACGTTGATAATATTTTTTTAAATTGTATTGTTCATCTTCTAATTTTATATATTTTCGAGGTGATATATTCGTTTTAAAATTAAATAGGGCTAAAATTTGAGTACCTACGAAGGCACCGCGCAACATCACGCAAAGAAAAAACTAAGTAGTCTAAAAGATTACCGTCTTTTTGAAGTCTTTTAAAAAAGATTTAATTCTGTTATACTTACAATTTCTTTAGCGAGTATATTCTAACATAGCTAATTATGTATGTGTTAAATTGAAATGTGAACTTCAGTAAATAATAAGTAACTTTTTAGGGTTCAGTATCTCACAAGGAAAATACGGAACCCTTATAGAATCACGAGAAGCTCAAAATCGATCTAAGTGGCGTGCGATGGGAGAGGCCTATGTCCAGCAGTGGACTGGGATAGGCTGATGATGATGATGATAGGATCACTTTGTTGCCCGTGTGTCTGTCCGTCTGTCTGTCCGAGCTTAGATTAAAACCATCTACTCAGGTCTACAGTCTCTTAGAACTGTAAAAAAGTCAAACTTAAGTTAACATGATAAAAAGATATGGCCGTTTATACCGCAAACAACGTATATTTCGACACTCAAGGGAATTAAAATTAATATGGTACTTCCCGTTGACCTGAAACTATGAAATTTAACAAGTAACATCGTCCTACACTACAAGTACAGGGAAAAATCTGAAAACTATACATTTGTAATTAAATCATAAAAAAATAAGTCTTTATTAAATATGTGCTTTAAATAAAGACTTATTTTTTATGATTTAATTACATCGCGGTACAATTTCACTTATAATACACAATAATATAAGTAATTATAGGTTTTGGAATATGAACGCCGGGAAAGGAATCGAGATGCCTGAACTATTTATAATATGTACCTACAAGTTTGTACGGTACCCTCGGTAGGCGAGTCCGACTCCGTTTTTTTTTAAATTCTAAGGCCGTTATACAGCCTTATCTAGGTCTGACGTAAACACAACTTGTACTAAACGTCCTGGAAATCAGATCTTATCGGTTTTGTGAATAGATGCCATGTCATTTTAATATTAATACGTAAAGAAACTTCTTTGTAACCCGTTTTTAAACAAATTTGGCGTACGGAATCAATATCGGAATACTCAATTTATATTTTTATTTATATAATTTTTTTAAAGACATGTCTCGCACCAGGAATATATCCTGTGTTGCGGGGGACTTTACAAACATTCATGAAACGGATACAAAGTAGCTTATACTATGAAAGGTAGATTGACTGATGGAATACTTATATACTTTCTTAAAAAACCCAAACTCCGAAACGAATTTTTGCAGATCATACTAACATTTGATCCAACCCGAGAATCGAACCCGAGACCTCTCTACAGAAGTCGCACACGCTACCACATATAAAACAATACATACATCATTACCACCAGTCGTCTTTGTATACCCCTCTCCCGAATTAGGAAGGAGGGATGGTTTGGGCTTCCAGGAACCTCACACACTCGGTGAAAAGCAATAAAGGAATTGCGTAACATTGTTTTTCTGTGAGGCCGGGGTATCTCTCCTGTCGAGCCGCCCTATTTGTCTGCCTTCTCGCATTTATGTTACATTGTGAATCAATTCAGGTATTATCCGTGTATTGACGGATTAAGAATACGTAGTTGGTGTCGTAAGAGCCGACTAAGAGAGCAAACTACGCAGGTCAACAGCACTGTAAAGAGAAGGAAAACTTGGAACAAATTCTATACAAACCCACTTGGCCAGCGTGGTATAGTAGGCCAAAACTTCCATTCTAAAGAGAGGCCTATGCAGCAGTGGTCTATTAAAGGCTGTTGATGATTTTACGAGAATAGTACTAAATATTCTGCACATAAGGTACTCTATGTACCCTTTTGTACTTCTCATAATGTGTAGGTGTGCAAAATTTCAACAGAGCAGAGCAGTTAAAGAGTAAAACAGTAAAAAAAAAACTCAATATTATTAAACTGCATTGCTACAAGTAGAAAGTACTTGTAGGGGTGTGGCAATGCAGTTTAATACGGGCTAAATTGTGCTATGAAATTGCAGCAATACGAACGAACGTTTCAAAAAGTATATGCTTTTGAACTCTGCGCTGCGCATATGGCACACTGACCTATTTTCGTTTGTCTGCAATACCGCAATTATAACGTGTAAAAATACCCTTCTGACACTTATTTTGGGGCTATATTATCAGTCTCTCTGGTGCAATTTTCATATGTTGTCAAACACAATGATAGATCCTGGCAATTTCAGGTATATTGTACGTTACTAAATCTCCCCCGAGAGGTCAAGATTTCTACGAAAATCTTCTCCTGGAATCTATAATTTCTTGAATGGAGAAAATCATTTCTAACCGACTTCGATAATACTTAATTCGATTATATTTTTATTTATGTTTGTTAACTCAGAAGTCGGTCATGTAAGAACCGATTTGGAAAATTCTTTTTTTTTGGAAGGGTATACTACCCGTCTAGCCCCATTCAAATTATAAGAAAAATACCGTAAAAATATCACCCTTAAGGTTGAAAAATTTCCCGATTTTTGCAATTCATCATGATGTAATATTGACGTTTTATATTGATATGCAGAGCTACGAGTATATTAAACGACCACATTTTGCAAAGTATAATTCTGATTTATTCATACTGTGAAGATGTTTTGACGTTCAGACGACCAACTCACCTGTTTTAGGCTAATAAATAACCTGGAGTCAAACTATTTCTTAAATTTGAATACTGAATAAGTAGGTGCTATCTCCGTAAACATTTTTAAACGTCCCCAATTTATAATAGAATGTCTAAACTTCAAACTTCTCTTTTATCCCATCTTTACGAGAATCCATCTTTTTCCACAGATGGACATCTACGTCCAGACAGCCAGCCCTATAGTGGAGCAGGTCCTCAAAGGCTACAACGGCACCATATTTGCGTATGGACAAACTGGCACCGGGAAGACTTATACGATGGCGGGAAGCAACACGGCCCCGGAATTGAGGGGGATTATACCTAACTCCTTCGCTCACATATTCAGTCATATCGCTAAGGCTAAAGAAGATGAGAAGTGAGTATTTTTATCGAGCAAAAAGAACCTCCAATCAAAGGAGAAGATTCGTAATTTGATTTCCTGCATTATAATTGCAAGAGGCGGACTGGTGTTGCCATGTGGCATTACATGGCAACTACCAGTCAACCTTTAGGTGGTTCAGTAAGGGGTAACTACTAGCTAACTATCAATTTATAAATATATTATATTCTTCTCGTTTTTTTTGTATTGGCCAAAGTATACCTCTCGTAATGCCATTTTTGAAGAAAAACCTCAGAAGGTGATAAATTAAGGAATGAATGATAATGATATAGGCACATTGCAGTTCTCTTTTTCGCAAATCTTTTTCCATAGGTGAAGAATCAGGGAATGGGAATGGAGAAATGAAGAATACATCTTATTACAATAGAATAGAATAACCTTTATTGTACACCAGTTCAGTACATTATACACACAATAGTATTCCAAGTTACTGACCATGTACAAATGGCGGCCTTATCGCAAAAAAAAAACAGTTTCTTAAAAGCAATCTTTGTCATAATTCAACCTTTATCATCTTAAATCATAATTTCGAATAGTCGACTAGCGCACTCTCGACTGTGGATTAAAGAACAGTTGAAGGAAATTGTATTTTTTTTAAAGATTTTATAATATTAGGTACTACATTATACATTTAATTATTTATAACGTCTCGATGGCCCCTCCATAAGATAAAAAAAAGTGTTTGATCTCCAGCACTCGTAACCAAAAAAATAGACAATGTTACCCACTCAGATAATTCTAATTTCAATAGACATCTGTACCCTACATAGTATTGTATTTAACGAATGGCGTGTCGAATCAACTTGACATAAAAAATGGCGGATCTTGCGTAAGTGCGCTCCGTCCTACTGACCCAAATGGCGCGAGTCCCATCTGGGTTATATACGGGATCAATACGAAACGCGGCAACATAGCATAGGTACATATGTACATATTAAACTTATAGTCATCGATTTGAAGTATGATTTATATAAATAAAGGATATTATTGAAGAAAATTTACCTTTTATCGGTTAGACAGCTCCTTACTGTGTAGGAATGATATTTTAAGGAAGATAGGTTATAATCATACTGCACGCACAAAATATTTGTTCCGTAACACTACATAGAACAAAACATACGCTACAAGTGCGATAGGAAATAGGGAAAGCATAAGAGTGAAAGAGACAGCTATGTGTAATCAGTAAATTGACAGAAGGCATTTTATGATATTTTTTTTCGAATAATAAGTACGTGCGCGCGCTTTTTGTGGTCCTAATTAGGACCACGTTTTTTGCGTTGGTGGCGTATCTACCTCTTGTATGTATATAATATCATTAGAATGTCAATAGATGTATTTGTACTACCCAATTTCGCCAATTCAGGTTTTTTTTGTGGTATAGGGCAACCGAGCAGACGGGTCACCTGATGGTAAATGGTTACCGCTGTTCATATACACCTGCGAAGAAGAGTCACAACAGAGCGCGTTCTCGTATTTTGAGTCCCCCCTCAGAATCCGGGTGAGGTAACCGGTAACCTCGACAAACGCAGTGTAGAACGCCCACAGGCCAGGTGGAGCAACGATTTGCGCAAAATGGCTGGTAGAAGCTTGATGCGAGGAGTCCAAAATCGATCGAAGTGGCGTGCAATAGGAGAGGCCAAAACCTCCTTTCTAAGGAGAGCTCCTTTCTAACATGTCCAGCAGTGGACTATTAAAAGCTGTTGATACCCAATCTGAACAACTTTTACCTTGCAGGTTTTTGGTGTGCGTGACTTACCTGGAGATATACAACGAAGAAGTTCGCGACCTCCTCGGCAACAACCCGCACCAGAGTCTCGAAGTGAAGGAAAGACCAGATATTGGAGTTTTTGTCAAGGATCTCACTGGTGGGTACATTTTTATCTGCAGAGATCTGAAAAAATAACTATTTTTTACATAAAGCTATTTAAAAAATGTCAAAGCCAACTGATTTAAAAAATTAGAGTCCGTACATTTAATGAATAGACAATATTTTTTTTAAAGACAAATCCCACTTTATAAGTATATCCTGTATTGCGGGGATTTTACAATCATTCATGAAATGGACACAAAGAACACCCAGATTCAGAACAACAATTTTAATAGATCGAATAACAAAAAGTCCGACTTAATAATAATTAGAAACATCAAAAATTTAAATAAAAATATTTTATTTCGCCGGTCACAGTTCTAATCTAACTTAACCCAAATGATTCACCAACAATAGAGGGGAACTGGTGCTCGGCGGAGACTGCCACGGCACTGCTTGAACCAGGCCATCATTGCAGTCAAATGTGATGTGACTAATCCCGCCCACTACTATAACTCCTGTACACCAGGATCAACAGAAGTGACCCACGAACCCACCGAATAATTATACTCTGGAAGTCCCAGGAAAAGTTAGACTGTCTTGGAACCCGAAACGAAATTAATCAGAAGAAAATTGAAGAAGTTGGAAATACTATAAATCCACTTCCCTCCTTATCAAAGCGAGCGATAAAAGTAAAGTAAAAATAGGCATACACCCCATTAAACAGATCCATCAACGTAACACTACAAGTGTTACGTTGATGGATCTGTATTCAAGAAAATTAAACTTTTTTTTTCATTCAAGGTAGTGTATAGTGTCAAATCTTTTTCATGATGTATAGAACTCACCTTAGTCTCTTTTTAATACGTCTCTTTTCATTTCATTTTATTCAAAAATAGTGTTTTTTCTTAGTTCGTGTTTCTGAATTTGAAAATGACGAATTTCCACACAACCGTTCATCCCTTATTTTACACCCTTCTGTGGGAAATATCCAAACACCCATTCTTAGTGGGTGCTTGCAACATAAAAAGCACCAGCTGCCAAAATGTCAAGTTTCCCAAGTCCCAGCAGTTTGGCCTCTTTTTTTTTCCGTGCGGATATCCCTTGGATACCACCATGGTGGCATGTCGGACTCGAACCGACTAAAACCGCACGCCGTTTCGGGTACTAATAACCGGGGAACCAGGTATACCCTAGAAAGGAAGTCCCTGGTGCCCCGACATAACAGTTTAGCCTCTGCGTTGATGAATCAGTCAGTGAGGGCAATTAATTTTAAATGTAAATTTCCAATCTCTTATTTAATTTTCCAGGTTACGTTGTCCACAATGCAGACGAGTTGGAAAAGATTATGGCTGTGGGCAACAAGAACCGTGTTATTGGAGCGACGGCCATGAACACGGAGAGTTCACGTTCTCATGCGATCTTCTCCATCACAGTGGAGAGCTCGAAGCGAGGAGCTGATGGCAAAATGCATGTGAAGATGGGAAAACTGCACCTTGTTGATTTGGCGGTAAGGTCGCTTTTTTAATTACTTTAAAAAGAGTAGCAGGCTCTAAATGCTGTTTTACCTAGGAAATCTGTTATTTGTAAAATTCTTTTTATATTTAAAAATGAACGTCTTCCATTTGGTCTCCTTCAAATTTAACTTAAAACGGTGCAGTTATTAATAAGCTGTGTGTGCATCCCACACTCACAATAACAGCTATAGACAAATTACCTTTAGCTGACATTAGAAAAAGATACAAAACGTTAGAAAAAGAAGCAATATATAATATCTCTAGTAAAAAACAAGATAACAATATACCATCATCAGCTTATTGCCGTCCACTGCTGAACGAAGAAATCCTCCAAGCACCAAATATCCCGGTCTTGGGCAGTCCGCAACCATAGTCTGACAGCCACTTTAAGTCTCCAGGCGGATTGATCGTCGCTGTAGCCGATTTGATTGAAGTTGTACACTGACGGACTTGATGCCCAGGGCATCTCCTAGCCGACCTTCGGGTGATACAGAACTGTGATAGAGTGGAGACCGTGATTAGGCAAACGTAGTGTAGGACGCCCTGCGGATCGATGGACCGCCGACTTGAGAAAAATATTAACAGTTATATACCTTCTCTAAATATCAACAATAACCTAATCACCCCCCATCTTCTGCCTCCAGGGTTCCGAACGCCAGAGCAAAACCCAAGCTACAGGCACCCGCCTCAAAGAAGCAACCAAAATCAACCAGTCCCTGTCGGTGCTGGGGAATGTCATCTCAGCGCTAGTGGACGGCAAATCCACCCACATCCCTTACAGAAACTCCAAGCTTACGAGGCTGCTCCAGGATTCTCTTGGAGGGAACTCCAAGACTGTAATGGTGAGTACTGAATGAGTAGTTTGAGAACACATATGTGTGCGTTTCTGTGCGTGTGTGAGTGTGTGTATAACATCATACTGTTACGACCTGGGGTTCGTCATAAGATCAATATCTCGGTTTGATAATATTTATTTATCTCCAACAAAGGATGTACACAAAATATTCAAAATTTATTTTACACTGGTATTTCTTATATGTACTCTTTCAAATATACGAGACCGTAGCATGCACATCAACAACAAAGTAAAATACAAACAAGAATAAGCTTATAATTATTCTAAATGCTTTTTTAAATTTAGAAAAAAGCGTACAAATATCGAAATTGTGAGTATTTGACAAAGTATTGTATTGTACAGAGTTTTGTACAGCGGCGTAATAACCGAGATTTGATTTTGGTAATAAAACTGGATAATAGAAATCGACACATTTATTTATTGCAATAAACACAATACGCTAATAATTAATAATCACTGATAATATTATTCTCTTCTACTGAGTGCCAATTGCGAGTTTATTTCACTTCTACTCGATCGTCAAGGTGACCGCGTTTGGCGCTACGATTGGCCCGCACTGAAATCTCCACCAATCGCAACGATAAACGAGAGCGAGTCGATGGGAAATAAACTTGCACTCGGCACTTACATATATCGCTATCGCTACATATGTCCTAGCTATATTGTAAAACTGAAATGTATTTACACCACTTCTGAGCTGATATACGCAGGCCAGCCTGGTTTCATATAAAATGCCAGATTTCCGAAAGATCTCGTAATGATTTAACTGTCTCGACACATCTCTGGAAACTTTTAGAACATTCTGAGATGTTTGAAAACGTTCTAGAACATTCGATTAACTCCACATGTCTATTGGAGCGGCCGTGATGATACTTTTGATGATGATGTCATATATAAAATAACTTGCCTTGACTGACTCACTGACTGATTCATCAACGCCGTGTGGTGACGAATTAAGAATACGAAATGTCACCACCCCTATTCATCCAGTGGGTGTCGTAAGAGCCGACTAAGGGAGCAAACTACGCAGGACAACAGCACTGCAAAGAGAAGGAAAACTTGAAACAAACCCTATATCAACCGGTCTGGCCAGCGGTGTATAGTAGGCCAAAACCTCCTTTGTAAGGAGAGGCTGTGAGAGTGGACTGTTATAGGCTGTTGATGATGATGTTGATGTGATGATGATGTTGTTGATATTTGTTTAGTAACCGTACATACATCTATTAATGGATTTTATAACAAAACATACATTTACCTGTGGTGTCATATTCCTTTATATTTATTTACCTTTTTGTCATAATTTATGCACCGTCGGAATACACAGAAAGGCATTTTATGAATTTTCTCGAATTAATTAGTACGTGCGCTCGCTCGCAGTGGTCCTAATTAGGACCCTCGCGTTTTGTGCGTTGCTGGCGTATCTGCCTCTCGTTTGTGTACAATATCAATGACGAGGCTGCAAACTTGAAACTATGAAAGTTGATGCTTTTTATGTTGTAAGGAACCAGGTTATAATAAGGAATGAATGGTTGTTTGATAGTTCATCGTTTTCAAAGTTAGAAACAGGAAATAAACAATAATCACGCGTGTATATAGTTATAGATTTAGCATTATGGTTGCTTTAATGAGATAAATGGATAAAAACAATTTTTCAATCGGTTTTGTTGCACATTTATGTTATAATGGAAATTAAACTAAAATAAACTTGTAGGTAATCAGTGTATGTTTTATTCTTCTCTCACAGAAATGTTTTTGACAATAATTTTACTTTAATAGCACGATACTATTTTTCTCTTTTTACATACGTTCTCTCACAAAAGGAAGGAAGTCAATCAAATAAACTTATAAAACCAGCTTAGGGTTGCCCTAAATAAAACTTTTTATTTTATTGTTTTCTCAATAGGTTTTTATATCTATACTATCTATATTCTATATCAATAAATAAAATTGACGTCTGTTTGTAATATTAAAATAATAGGTTTTTTCATGCTCACACGGTTATTTGCACGGTACCTATGCCTAAAAACCAGTTTAAATTTATTTTGTCTGTCTGTTTGTTCTGGATAATCTTTTAAATGGTTGGACCGATTTTGATTAATATTTTTCTACCAGGTACCCCTGTCTATATAAGGAGTAATTTACGCTATTCTTCTTATCAGAAAAACCCTTTAAAATTTAAGCCCGATCCGGGAATTGAACTCACTAAGGGTGACTACCACTTTTAAAATTCCACGCGAAGTCGCGGATCTAAAATTAGTCTGAATAGTCTAAAATTGATAAAAAACGGTGCAGAACTTTGTGCGTACACAAACCAACTCAACATTTTTATACGTATAGATATAAGCTGTAACTTCATGGTTACAGATAGCCACCATAGGACCCGCAGATATGAACTACGTGGAAACTATCAGTACCCTGAGATACGCTAACAGAGCTAAGAACATCGAGAACAAGACCCATGTCAACAGCGAGCCTGGCGATGCTTTGCTTACTAGGTAAGAAAGAAAGAAGAATACTGTACGACCTCCGCTGTACATTAACCTTTGTTCAGGCGCTACACTAAACCTTAACTGTCGCAATCAGCCTTTAGAAGTCCACTACTGCTAATTTAAATAAGTAGACATGTACTTGGTGCTAAGGTTTGAATGCTACTAAAAATATACTGTCCACCACCCCTATTCATCCCGTGTCGTAAGAGCCGACTAAGGGAGCAAACTACGCAGGACAACAGCACTGCAAAGAGAAGGAAAACTTGAATTGATAATGGCTCTGGAAGTGGGGCCGCTTTCAGCATGACGGGAGCGAGGAGTCTATGCTGTACTGCATACAGTTCCCCAACCATCAAAAATGCTGTCACACTTTTGATGGTTGTTAGATAAGAAGGAATGAAACAATATGTCCAAATAATAGTTATTTTTTTGTAATAGGGGGCTCATGAGCAGACGAGTCGTCTCATGATAAGTGACTACCACCACCTGCAACTTAATATGCACATATACGCTGCCCCCATTTGAATGTTCAACCTCCCAAGGATAAGTAAAGAGAAGGAAAACTTGAAACAAATCCTGTACCAACGTCTGGGCAGCGTGGTATAGTAGGCCAAAACCTCTTTTCTAAAGAGAGGCCTATGTCTACCAGTGGACTATTAGAGGCTGTTGATGATGATGATGATGGTATATATATATGTATAAACCTTTGAGTAATGCCGTGAGTAACACGGCAGATGTATATCCATAACATTCTACTCATAGGAGTCTAGACAGGACATGATTTAATTCTTTTTTTTTTTCTCAGATTCCAGCAAGAGATTGATCAGCTCAAGAAACAATTAGAGGAAAGTATCAATGGTAAGGTCAAGTTAAGCATCTGAATGACAATCTTCTTCCTTTTTTTAAAAGACAACTCCTACGCTAACTGAATCCCGTGTCGCGGGGACTTTACAAACATTAATGAAACAGACACAAATAACACCCAGACTCAGAACATCAATTTGGGGATCAAACAAAGTGTTGTTCCATGTGGGGACCGTACCCACAACACTCAACCCAGTAGGAAGACGACATCCGTGCAATCAACAATACCATTCGTCAATACGGGTACGTCATACCCAGCTATATTGTCTAATCATTTATATTTAAATGTTGATTTAAAGATATAACCGTCCCACCGGTGGGTAATATCCGAGGGGATTTCCGCACAGAAAAAAAAGGGTCTGATATCTAGCAGAGATCAACGTGACCTCTATATGTTATGAATAGAATCACCAGTGCTTGTGTGGTTGACATTTGGATGTCAATCGCCTCAAAGTGACTCTGTAACGTAACGTACACTTAGTGACGTCATATATAGGGTTGTGAACCGACAGAATTAAAACTACTTATTACACGAGTATATACACAAATTAATAAACAGCTCTATTTCTATCTAGACGTCGAAGACGAAGGGGACGAAGAAGATGTATCAGATGAAGAGTTGTCTGATGACACGCTAACCGATCCAGAGCTGGACTCCCTAGATCCTGACGAGAAGAAACTACGCAGGAAGTTGAGGCGAGAGGAGAAGGTGAGATTATAAAACTGATGAGTTTTAGGAACAATTTGGATCTGCCATAGTCATAGTAGATCTGTTTTATTAGAAAAATATTTCAATAACAGTTAGGTGAACAATAATAAGGATTAAGGGGAAGATAAATTAGAAAATTACGGGGGGATAGAGAAATGGGGGAAACTGGAAGTACCATTTCCACCTTAATAATTTTTAAAAAGTTTTGACGGTGTAAAAAAAAATGTTGACCAAATTTCTCGTGTTGAGTGTGTGTGAAATGAATAACTTACAGACGTCCAATGCATTTTCTATGTATATATCGTATATATCAAGGAGAATGCTCCTAGGAATTGTTCGGACTAATACCGGCTGCAACTTTCCGCCATTGTTCCACACGACATTTCCATCCCCACTACTTGGATAATTGTCACTCCACTCTAAACACTTTTTGCCTCGCACAACCAACGTGTGGAACAAGTTATCGTCTGCGGTATTGCCGGACCGATACGATCTTCAAACCTTCAAGAAAAGAGGGCACTCCTTCCTCAAAGACCGGCAATGCGCTTGTTCCTGAATTGCAGACTTTCATGGGCGGCGGTAGTTGCTTTCCATCAGGTGACCCGTCTGCTCGTTTGCCCCCTCTGCCATAATAAATCCTGAAATGAACAAATTGAGCATAAATAAATGTTGACATGGGAAGTATTCATTTTGCAGGAGAAGTTAATCAGAGAGAAGGCGCACCAAGCTCGCAAAGTCCTCGAGGAGAAGAAGGCTGAACTGCAGAGGACCAAGTAAGTTTACATCTATAATATAAAGAACATTCTTTGTAAATGATTTTAAACAAATATGGCGCATATCATATTTAGAGTACTTAATGTTTTTTACATTTAGTTAGTGATTAGCAAACCTGACTGCCAAAACCAGAGGTCGTGGGTTCGATTCCCATCCACGACAAATATTGTATGATGAGCACGATCATTTGTTTTGTTTCTGGGTGTAATTTATCTAAAATATAAATGTAATTAGAAATATATAAGTATGTTTATCAGCAGTCTGGTTACCATAGTACAGGCTCTGCCTAGTTTGGGATCAGACGGCCGTCTGTGAGATGTATGAGGTTATAATTATTATTATTTTACCCAGGAAACAACAAGAAGAATTAAAAGATAAACTACAGCGTCTGGAGTCCAAGGTGCTCGTTGGTGGGGAGAACTTACTGGACAAGGCAGACGCTCAAAGGCAGCTGCTGGAACAGGCGGCAAGGGAGTTGGAGCAACGTAGGCTAAACGAGCTACGGCTGCAAGAGGACTTGCAGAAAAAGGAGGTGAGTGAGGAAGCCTTGTGGTTATTGGGTAAAATGTTTATATAGAATTTCGTTTAGATACGTAGTCCAAACCAACCCGTTTGGCTAGCGTTATATAGTAGGCCAAAACCTCTTTTCCAAGTAGAGGCCTATATCCATCAGTGGACTATTGAAGGCTGTTGATGATGATGATGACGTAGTGTCAAGTTTATGGACACCATTCACACCTTTACTGAAAACCATTCTTTCGTTTTTGTTCATTGAGTGAGTGAGGTTATCAGGGTTGAACCTTCCCCCCCCCCTCCTGTAAACTTAAGAGGGGGGGTTGCACACAAATCACGCGCATCTCTGAAGTTGCAAGCGTTTATGGGCGGCGGTTATCACTTTCCAATAGGTGATCTGTTTCGATTCTTTCCACTTTAACCCTATAATTACACGGGTTGGACTCCCAACCCGAGAGTGCGAGAATTATTATTATATTTTTTTTTAAAAAAGACAACTCCGCCATTAGTAATATATCCTGTGTCGCGGGAGACTTTACAAACATACATGAAACGGACACAAAGAACACCCAGACTCAGAACAACAATGTGTGGATCACACAAAGTGTCGTCCCATGTGGGGTTTGAACCCACAACACTCGACGTAGTAGGGAGCGGCGTGGCGACCGCTTAAACCACTACGCCATCCGTGCAGTCAAGATTTAAAATATACTTCAACCCTCAAAAAATTTCATATCTTTTCTATCTTTCAGGCCGAACGTCTGGACCTCGAGGAACGCTACTCTAGTCTCCAAGAGGAGAATGCTGCAAAAACTCGCAAGTTGAAGCGAGCAGTCCAACTCCTTAACTCGGCGAAGGCGGAACTGGCTGACCAGCAGCGCGAGCAACAGAGGGAGATGGAAGGGATCCTCGACAGCGTTCGAGCATTAAAGAGGGAGATACAATTAGCTGATCTGGTCCTGGATTCTTACATACCCAAGGAGTATCAGGTAAGAATGCTTTGCTTTCATCACAATCACAAACCTCAGCGTACTATTTGTCTAATCGGAGGTTTGTAACAAAGGGTATTATAGTTTACTTGAGACTCACACAAAGTGATGTCCCATGTGGGGATCGAACCCACAACACAGCGCTGGAGGAAGCGGCGAGGTGAACGTATAAACCACTACACCATTCCTGTAGCCAATCAAATCAAGTCAGATGTGGTTGTATATACTGTGAGATTATGAATAAGTTTACACGTTGAATTTTTGTGTAGAAAAACAGTTTAATAGAAATATCTTTGTAAAATACCGTAGTGTACGTAAAAGACTAGAAATAGGCACCACATCTTTCTAAATCTTCTTATGCCAACCCCTCTACACCAATTGCTAAGATAGATTACAATCTATCAAATTTCATTTTACAATAAGTTAGTAGTGGATAAGACACTCGCTTCAGTTTGCTGTGTTTTTGTCCCATGCCTAGTAGCCAGTGTTGCCACATTGCGCGTGACATATAACTTGACACATTTGAACTGTATGTTTTTGGCACAGGGTTGTCACCTGTATTTTAATTTATAATTATACATTTTTCATGTAATTTGTGTTGTATATTTTGTTTTAAAAGTGTTTTTATTTATTTTTAATTAGTCGTGTCTTTAAGAAAAAAACATGATTTCTTTCTTTCTTTCTCTTCTTTCTTACTAGTAAGCGCTGTGATATAAATCCTACAGATAGGAAGGGGGGAAATAGGCTCTACTAATTTATTAGCTTCCTTAGCTCTACCAGATTGCGGTCGTATGCCTGTAACTTGTACGACAGCTGTATTGTGATACAAAGTATGTTTCCAGGCACTTATTGAACAATACGTGCATTGGAACGAACAACTGGGCGAGTGGCAGGTCAAGTGCGTGGCGTACACCGGGAACAATATGAGCACACACACACACCTCGAGCGGAACCACTCCACACAGCATGTATGTATTTAACATTCATCAATCAGCAGCCTTTAATAGTCCACTGGTGGACATATGCTTCTTCTTAGAAAGGAGGTTTTGGCCTACTATAGGTATAACGCTGGCAAGACGGGTATAGGGTTTGTTTTAAGTTTTCCTTCTCTTTGCAGTTTTGTCGTTGTAACGTTCAGATTTCCTCCAGAATAAATTGAAATTCTACTTTAATTGGGCAGTTCTTATACCAAGGCCCTTGTTTGTTTAAAATATTAAAATAAATATGGAACAATATATTATTAAAGTAAAAAAACGAGAATCCGTTAAACGTCTTCGTGTATATAAAGTTATCTATGTCCTTTCTCAAGAATCAAAGTATCTCCATGCCACATTTCATTAAAATCGGTTCAGCAGTTTAGCCGTGAAAGCGTATCAGACAGACAGAGTACTTTAGCATTTACAATATTAATCAATAAATTGTTTTAAATTGATATTAATAATATATATTTGCAGATTGAACCGCCAGATCTATCCGATCGCTATTTATCGTACAGCGCCGTGAATAGCCGGCCGGCGACACGCCTCGCCAGACCCCACACATCTGCTGTGCCCAGACCCCACACGGCCCTTCGACAGCGGCAGTAGCTAATACAGGACTAATGTTGGTCTTGCATATTTTGTAGCTCATTCTGATTTGACCGATGTGAAGTTAGCAGCGAGAAGATCCTAAATGGTGGCGAAAAACAGGATAGCACCATATTCTCTTTCTAAGCTAACTTCAAGGTGGTCAACTTAGAAAAAAGGCATGTTATTCATTTGAAAATATATAAGAACATTAGAGGTATTGGAGTCATCACGTTATATAAAAATTTAAAAGCCAAATAACAAATAGCAACCTTTTTTTGTATTCTGTTTTAACTTCAAAGCTGTGGCTGAAATGCACTTACAGTAAACCGGTGTTAGCAATTATTTCGTTGCTTTTTACGCTCACTAAATGTCCCTCCCTAGGTCATTTACCTACCCCTAAGAAATCAAATTGGTACTCGTGAGTTCTGACCATAGAGAGAACACGGGGCACAGCTGCCTGTAAGTGGAAGCGAAACAGGAAACGAGAGATATGGATGCCTTATGTCTCTGTTTAGCTAAGCTGCGATTGGTTGCTTATTAACCCCTCATATTCCCCAACCAACCGCAGAGCTCGGCTAGAAAGAGATAGAGGGGACTACCTATTATCCATCTCTCTCGTTGCCCATATTGCAAGATGCAAGTATCTTGTTCCCTCTAGGTTATATATCCATAGTTCTGACTACACAATAATAAACCACACAATGAAATATACAACATGAATGCCAGTAATGCCAAAACGGTGTCAGTAGGTACTTTTATTGGCAGTTTATTCATTTTATTCAATAATATTAGAATAAACATTGTCAGATTTCCCTTTTACTGTAATTGTAACGGTAATTAGGCTAAAAGGGATTAATTTCATTTTTACAAATTTCATTAAAAAAAAACATCGTTATCGATTTTAAAACATTCAGTTCTAAAAGTGAATGCTTCAGTATCTATTAACATTTCGAAAAAAAAGTCATGACAATTAAATATTATTGACTTGTATTAATTCAAATCCAAATCTTTATTCTCCTAATTTAATTAAATGAATTAAATTTACTGTACTTTTTTTTGTTTTTATCTCAAAATAAAAATGGCTGCTCAGTTTTTATGTATGTGATAAAACCATTTTAAATTTAGAAAACTAATAAGTGGCCTGTATGTTATTTTATTTGTATTAAATTTATTGTACTTTTTGTTGTTATTTTGAATTAAAAATGGCTGCTCAGTTTTTATGTATGTGATAAAACTATTATAAATTTAGAAAAAACTAATAAGTGGCCACTATATTATTTTTTTAATGACAATTTTTGTTACTTTTTTTTTTCTAAACAGGCTGTAAGGCCCATACTTGTTTTTTAGCACAGCAGTATTTTACTTATATGTAATTAAATGCATATTATTTAAAGGTAAGTAAGCACATGCATGCATTACTAGTCTTTTTCAAATATCGTAGTGGTTTGTGTATTGGACTGCTACGCCAAAGGTCACGGGTTCGATGCCCGCTCAAGTCAAACATTTGCGTGCTTGAACATTTAATGTTTGACTTGGTATGGATGTTTCTATGTAGGTATAATATTATACCTATGTATTAAAAAAAAATATATATCAGTTGTCTAGTACCCATAGTACAAGCTCTGCTTAGTTTGGGACTAGATGGCGTTGTGTGACTGTGTGTGTTTTCTTGGCTCTAAATGTGGAGAAGTTGTAAAAGATATGTTCTGAGGTGATAAAAAATGTTATTTCTACATATAAATATGTTTAATTTATTTTTAATCATTTGTATCTCACTAAATTTATTTTCCAAAGATGTCGTTTTGGTGTTAGATTGATTTAAGCTCTCTGGTCTGAAAATAAATAACTATCAAAAAGTAAATGTATTAATTATATGTAAGTTAATATGTAGTAAATGAGTCGCGAGAGAGTAAGCCCGAAAATCAAGGCCTGGCAATATTCTTAGCGACTATCAGTTAGTTGTACCAAAGTGTTGCCAACTTTGACTTTCAATTTTAACCAAAATTATTTTGTCATTCTTTTTTATAATTTATAATGTATTAATTTTATTTTTATTCTACTAAATATTTTACTTGCTAGTCACATTCCAATGTATTCAATATTTAAGCTTTTAATTACTTTCAGTATTATTTAGGTACAAGTAACCTTGTAAAACCGCCACCTGAGAATACAACGGTCGTATTAGTCAAACCAAATTAAATCCATTGTCTTCTTAGTAATTGAAATCGGATTCATAACACCAAACATTTAATCTCACATTTAACCAGTGGTGGTCCAACATGCAAGGTCGTGAATGGCTGCTTTAGCAGACGTAAGTAGCAGAATCGTGTTAGGAACTGCCTTTATTTATTATATTTTGCAATTATCTTCAATGATATCACTTATGTACCTAATATCTTAGTGCGATATTCTTTTAATAAATCACTTTTTTAAACCTGTCTTTTTTTCTTATTACCTTTAAATTTAATAAATATAATAGTTAACATAGATATTAAAGCAACTCTAGTAGAATATTGAGCGAGTAAGCCGGATGTCGTGGGTGTGATTGCTTCCCAGGACAAACAATTGAGTGATGAGCATGATCCTTTCTTCTCTCTGGTTGTAATTTATCTATAATATATATAAATGTATTTAGAAATATAAAAGTATGTTTATCAGCAGTCTGATTACCACAAATAGCTAGACGCTAGCAAAAAGCTTTTTATTTGTATAAAGTTTTACAAAATAGTATAGTACATAAAAATGTCAGACATGAAATGTACAAAAGGCTGCCTTATTAGCCTAAGAGCAATCTTTTTCAAGCATCCTCAGGATGGGTCAAAATGATTCGGAGAGACAGTAGTATTTGAGGGTGATGAGGTGGTAATAGTACAGGCTCTGCCTGGTTTGGGATCAGACAGCCGTGTTGGAGATATGTCTAGTTATGATTATTACATGCGGCACAAAAATTTCGAAAATTAATAAAACTTCAAGCTCCTGAAAAGAATCGAAGATCGTCTGCTATCTTCAGAGCCGCAGCCGCACTGACATCATGGCCGAAGTACACCTAAACAGAACCTTTATTTCACAGTAATGTATTTTAATTGTAAAACTAGCGACCCGCCCCGACTTCGCAAGGGTATAATTTTTACGACATTAGTGACGTGACGTGACGTGGAGTGACGTCACGGCCTCACAGAAAACCGGTGTTAACCAATTGTATTGTTGCTTTTCAACGAGTGAGTGAGATTTTTTTTTTAACTTTCACATTAGAAATATATCCTGTGTCGGGGGGACTTTACCAACATACATGAAACGGAAACAAAAAGCACCCAGACTCAGAACAACAACTTGTGGATCACACAAAGTGTCGTCCCATGTAGGGTTTGTACCCACAACACTCGGCGCAGTAGGAAGCGGCATGGCGACCGCTTTAACTACGACGCCATCGGTCCACTCAAGATTATCGGCGATTAACACCCCCCGATTAATTCTAGGTGGAGGGGGGGGGGGGACTCAAAGGGCGACAACACACTCGTGACTCTAATTGCAGATAGTTACCGTCAGGTGTCCCTTGTGCTCGTTTGCACCCTACATATAAAAAAAAAAACTGACTCCGGGAGTGCCGACAGAAGTGAAACTTGAATTTTTTTTGGATTATAACAACATTTTTTTGTTTTTTTTCTATTCCAAAAGATATATTCCATGAATATATATCTATGTTGTACGTATACACACAATATATGTTTATATTATATACAGTTATATTATTTATTTATTTATTGAGTCTTCCTGCAAACATATTGCATAAGGCGGACTTACTTAATGCCTGTTTGGGTTGAAATATATTACTCTACTCTCGTGCTAATATATGTAGATACTTATATACAGAGGTGTTGGTAACGGTAACGGCAGCAGTGTCGCGAGTTCAATGGTTTTTTTCCCTATCTCAAAAAATACATTCTTTTGTTTGTTGTTCAAAAATGCAAAACGCGCCTCAAGAAGTTTTCACTTCATAAAACTAACAAGAAATCCTACTTCATTTTACCAATGAGCGCGCGGTGAGACATGCTTCATATTCCAATAAAAAAGTTTAGTAGCCGTGTGTGACAGATTAATGTGTCACGACCCCTATTCGTCCCGTGGGTTCCGTAAGAGACGACTACGGGAGCAAACTAGACAACAGGACAAGAGCACTGCAAAGAGTAGGAAAACTTGACACAAACCCTGTACCAACGCCTCTCATCAGCGTGGTAAAGTAGCCCAAAACCCCCTTTCTAAGGAGAGGCCTATGTCCAGCAGTGGACTATTAAAGGCTGTTGATGTGATGTGATAAAAGTTTACTGGACAAGGGTTTTTTAACAACATTTTATTACTTTCAACATCAAATTTGATTGAATACTGGAACTTTTTTGGACTCTTTCTGTACAGCATTTACACTGTGGTCAATAATCGTCCCGATCAATAATTTGGTTTTCCTCTATATTTTCGCTTGGTCTAGTAGACATTCCTGTTTGCTGTCGTTTCCGTCGTGCCCTGTAAACTTCGCAAGAGTCTTTTGGCATAACTTTCCAGTGTTTTGTGTCTTCTGCATTTTCTAATTTCTGAAAAAAAAAATGCTTTTCGTTTATAAGTATTATTAGGTACGTACGTAGAGCAAACTAGCAGACGGTAGGTGCCTATTACCGCCTATAGACTGTCACCTGACACTCAAGAGCCACAAGTTGTCGGCCTTTAAATGCCGCCCACAGAGTAATGGCAGGGGAGGTGGTTTAACCTCATTCAAATAAGTAACGAATGAATTGATTAACACCGGATTCTGGGAGGTCGAGCCATCACTGTTCGAAATGTATATTTGGACCATGTGCAGCCATTTCCGAGGGATACTTGATCTGATCAAAATGTCTGATTCAGTGTGTGGTAATCTTAGGGAAAGGAAATTAAGATCTTCCCAAATCCCTTGGATTCACAAGACACGATAACGTGCTCATCCTGCACTGAGTATAGTCGAAACATCTGCTCGTCAAAGTTTTAATTCGAATGTGGTTTTACAAATCGAGAATTAATTATGTACTGTCGAGAAAACTGCACTATCATCTGCGATACACCATTTTACAATGTTTTGAAAACTCATTTAAGTTCGGATCATTTGGAGGTAGGGCTGGTAAATCGATCCTCTCGGTCATGTGTCTTTTCTTATGGCTGTCGGCCAAATTCTGGCACCATTTGGTGTTATGTACATCACAACCGTCGCTCAGAGTTTTTTCCAATTATTGCGGCCATTTGTTAAGCTGCCCGGTTCTCGTCTTGTTAATGCCGACTGTGATGTCTTTGAAACGGAACATGGGCCTACCCACTCTCCTCACTCAACAAGGTACTCCTTGTTAAGCGAGTACCATTTATTCGATGCACATGCCCCAGCCATCGCAATCTACTTTGTTTAAGCGTTGCGGTAATTATAACAAAGACGCTATTTAAATGATCTGACAAGAATGAAATGAAATGAATTGATGGATGGAATAACTCATTAGTGGACGGCCTTGACCAAGAAACCACATGCTATTTTAAATTGTTTAAAAATACTAACCTTAGGATAAAAATCTTTGTGTAAAGGATCAAATGACTTATGGACTGTATACCATTTACGTTTATTTTTATGCTTTTTACATATCGGAGATCTATATAACTTCTTTCTTTTTAATCGTTTAGTATACCTTAATTCTTTTTTACTTGATCTCATTGATAAAAAATTTAAATCCGAGACTTGATCTCATGAATTCAAAATTTCGGTTAATATTTCAAATTTACAATATGTCGTTCAGAAACTTAGACATTTCAAGCTTATCATGCACTCTGTCACAGTCTGGCACGATCATAGAGATATAAGCATAAAGAGAACATAGGGTACAGCTGACTGTAAGTAGAAGCGATACAGGCAACGTGAGAGATCGATGCCCGATATTTCACCCTGTCTTTGTTTAGCTAAGCTTCGATTGGCTACTTATTAACCGATCATATTCCCCAGCCAACCACAGAGCTTGACTAAAAAGAGATAGAGGGGACTATCTATTATCCATCCCTCTCGTTGCTTATATTGCAAAATTTTGGCTTGGTTCTCTCTAGGTTATTTCTCTATGGTCACGAAGCTGTTAAGACTTCAAAGATTAGGTTAGTGAGGTTTAGGTAAGGGTCCAGAGGTCCTAACAACAGCAGTTTTTTTTTATATGGGACTAATCCCACCCACACGCCCACCACTGTAACTCCTGTACACCAGGATCCACAGCAGTGACCCACGAACACACCGAGTTATGACACTCGGGAAGTCCCAGGAAGAAATTAAACTGTCTTGGAACCCGCAACGAAATTAATCAGAAGAAAATTGGAGGAGTTGGAAATACAGTAAATCCACTTCCCTCCTTAGCAAAGCGGGAGACAAAATGAAGTAAAAATAGGCATACACCCTTTTAAACAGGGAAGCACCACGGCAACAAAATATTACGGGTCCTACATGAGCTATATTTGATTTCTATAATATGTATGGCAGAATCGCCTAAACGCACGGAAATTCACCCTAGTTGACACAAGATCCCCATAGTATACCGCCCCAGATGTCACCTGCAAGCTATTCAACAACAGCAGTTCCCGGATCCCTCCTATTACAGGCGCAGAGTGGCACACCGTGTGGTTTTAGTCGGTCCGATTCCGACACACCACCCCGACGTAAACCCCGGTGGAGTGAAGGCCCGAGGGGGTTACCACACATTAAAAAAGAAAAAAAAAGTAAGGTTTAGGTAAGTTTTAGTAAAAAGTAGTAGTAGTAGTAAGTTAATAACACCTCACGTATTATATGAAGGTATTTATTTATTTCTATTTTAATTAATCCCATGAGCCATGTTAAACATACCGAACTACGTGAGCAACAAATACATACACGCGGATTTGAACATCAAGACAGTTAGACAAGAAATTGCTAAGTGCAGTAAACGCTATCGAACCAGAATATCTACTCACGTTAATAAGTTGGCTTCGAAACTACATGGTACAGGCACTGTCTCACGCCGAGGGGATTTCCACACGGAAAAAAAAGGCACTGTCTCACACGACCGATTAAAGCGGCGTGATGAATTTGAAGGGAATTCCCAGCTATTCTTTCTGCTAATAATGACATATAATTAAATACCAAAAGACTGGCTTATTGTGTCAACACCTATCGCCAAGTAGCAGATAAAACACTTTTTTTTTGTTTTATAATCAATAGTTAATAACAAGAATAACATTGTGGCGACTTCCACAAATGGTGAACTTCACTGCACACCATCAGCGCCAACTTACTACAGCGCCATCTAACGAAGAAATACCGGACTACAGAGTAACTGCTAATCTTGTATCGCGAAATGCATAATTTTCCCGCCGATTAGCATATTTAAAACTACATATGCCAGACGGAACATAAATCGTTGGGCCGCTGCCCGCCAGGCATGATCACCTCGCTTGGTCCGAGGATCCTCACTTGGTATTGGAGGGATATGACCCCCGTTTCTCCAAATTGGTGACCCTGACGTAATTAGAAACAGCCTTCATAGAAGCAGATCAGCAGCAGCGCCATCAGGTAATCAAGTCTCAGCCAGCCAGCAACTTCGGCCAAATTAGGGATACCACCTGCAGGTAGCGACCGCTCCAGCCTGGTTACCCCTAGCCCCTGCCTCATCAGCATTTAGGCACAGCACACTCCACCTACAGTCCACGTAAGAAGAGCATCTCTCTTCCGTCTACACAGCAGCCAGCCACTACGCACCTGACCTGATGACTTTACCGCATGCAATGCATGAACTGGCACGCTCCACAACGCAGCGGTAGTCACTTTACAGCAAGGGATCCGTCTACTAGATTGCTGCCTTAATCATAAAAAGAAGAGCATTATTCTTGTAAAGAGGATTAATCTTTCCCTCTGGCACATGTCGTGAAAAAGAAAAATCACATGTCAAGATACATTGTTGATTATTCTTTCTGGTCACAATGACAGTTAGGTAAATGAACGGTAGGGCAAATTTATGAGTAAAAATTTATTGTGAAAAATTCTAGTATAAGGAAAAAGAAATGTATAATTTTATTTTGAGCATTTCTAATGTCTAATCCAGTGATTGTTGAAGATTATGCCACCATCCTAATATGGTTGATAATATGTTCAGTGTATACCACTCTTCTAACGATAACTGTGCTATGTGTGGTGTTCATTTTGTAAGTTATTTATCTTTTTAAATTTTGATAATGAGTAAAATATCATATGCGGGTACTTCAGGTATAGGCAAATGGTGGTCAACATTAAAATTAATTGTGAACTATAGACTTCATTAAAGTTGACCGCCCTTGACTTACATGTAAAATATGGCTATGAGATTGATAAGCTTAAAAATTTTAGATGCAGAACTTTAGATGCAGATGTTATTCAACCTAAATCATTAGTAAATCGTGCATATGAGTTTAATGTGCCATCTATATGATCATAAATACCTGTCGCCATGGATCTTGAAATTATTCATACTAACCAGTTAGTAATGGTTGTAAAAATGTTTGACCTCTATTAAAGTTATTAGAAAAGTTGGAAAATATACTCACATTTACTTTTAAGTTTTTTGGATTCCAAGCACAGAGAGTAAACGGGCGAGTACTCTTCTATCCTAAAGAGTATTGAGTGCACTAATAGAAGGATAATAAGCCTATAAGTTAGTTTTTTTTTTCACTTTTAGCTTCAGTAAAATAACACGAAGAGTTCCATCACAACACAAACATAATCTAGCATACAAAAATATAAAAAAATCGGTTACCCAATTCTAATTAATACATACAATTAATAAATACTACTTACCTTACCTTACCTTACTTACTACCTAGTAATTTTTAAATCTTCAAAAAAAAAAAAGGAAATAAGTGGACATAAATGTTCAAGAAAATAATAATCTAAAAGACTAGTTTCCACATCAACCATAAACAAACCATTGTCCTCTATAAGTACAAGTTTAAATGAAACTGTCAAAGTCAACATTCAAATTTGAGTGCGTCCGTTGTGTTTGTTTTGATAGTGTTGAATTGTTTGAATATAAACTTATATTGTGACTTTATGTTTAATTTTGTGAAGTGATGAATTGTTTTTGTTAAGCAATAGTTAATTGTTAGAATGGATGATACTCAACAAAGTCGGACAACCGACGCGGCCGCTACGTAAGTTACAATCATTTGTGTAGATAAGCATTCTGTTGAATTAAAGAGATGAAGGTATAACATTTGTATAATAACCTATTCAAGCATCTAAACTCGCAGACAATGGAAGCAATCTCAGGACTATAACATTTCTAAGTAGTAAAACTGTAATAATATAAATTGAAACATCTATCGTAATGACAACTGGTGCAAATAACACAGAACATCTAGTTCCATCAAAGCACCGGCGCTAGCGGCGCCTTGATTATTTCATGTTTCTAACTTCGAGAGTGATGAACTTCCATACAACCGTTCATCCCTCTACCCCTTAGGGGTGTTATTGCTGTAAATCCTTTCTTAATGGGTGGTTGACATAAAAAGCATCATTTCTTAATAGGCTCTGAGTTGACGAATCAGTCAGATTTAATTAAACAATCTTATTAATGAAAATGCAGTGCTTTTAGAGAATCTTGCGTTAATAAAGTTTTGAGATGTAGTCACATAATAAATTAAAATGGAAATTATTATGTGAAGAGCTGTGTACCCCTTTTTAAGGAAATTTGAAACTTTAAGGATACTGAAATTTCAAATAATAAATATTTGTGGTGACACACGGACAGACGGACAAGAAAGTGATCTTATAAGGGTTCCTTTTTTACCTTCTGAGGTACGGAACCCTATAAATATGTAAAAGTGGCAGCAGCACAACAGCCATGTCTGACACAAATAGGCTGGTTCGGGAGTGATCCCACAGTGTAATTGAAAACCAGTGTTAAGCAGCAGAAGGTTCAAAATCGGAATCTAAGATAAAACAGGCTAGTAAATATATTTCCCTGTATTAGTGTCCCTGTCTGTGTAGCGATGGATTAAGAATATAGAATGTCACTACCCCAATATATCCCATAGGTGTCGTAAGAGCCGATTAAGGGCGCAAAACAATGCAGGACACCAGCACTGCAAAAAGAAGGAAAACTTGACCCTATACCAACCCATCGGGCCAGTGTGGTATAGTAGGCCAAATCCTCCTTTCCAAGGAGAGGCCTATGTCCAGCAGTGGACTATTAAAGGCTGTTAATGTGATGTGAGTGTAGAAAATTCAGCTTATACTAAAATGAAATAGCTACGAAAAAGAAAAAAAATGTAAATTGACACTGGAGTACACCCCTAAACATGAGATCTTACCCAATACTTCTCATTACTAGTACTGCTGATAGTGGTGTTTTTAATATTTAAGGAATCCACTAGGTAATAGTACGGCAGGAATCATAGTTAATAAAAATTTGACTGCACTGATGGTGTAGTGGTTTAAGTGGTCGCCAGGAAACATTGTGGCGCTGATCACTTGGTGTGTTCCACAAATTGTTGTTGTAAGTCTGGGTGTTCCTTGTGTCTGTTTCATGTATGTTTGTTAAGTAACCTGCGACATAGGATATATTCCTAGTGCTGGAGATGTCTTTCTTTGTGCGGGAGATGTCTAAACTAAAATAGCCTGTACTATGGTAACCAGACTGCTCATAAACATACTTATATATTTCTAAATGCATACATATTATAAATAAATTACATCCAGATATGCAAACAATGATCATGCTTAAAATACATTATTGCCCTGGATTGGGTTCATACCCACAACTGCTTAGCGGTCAGAATTACTAACCTTTAAACCAACAACCCCATCAAGGTTAGAAATGTACAGGACAATATTACTTATTTAATAAACTAATTGTTGAGACAACTCAACACTGATGCGGCGGCAGCCAGCGAGATGGAGACATCGGACATCGCGCACCGCTCGCGCTGTGAACCTGTGCGGCTTTAAATACTTGGCATCAACAACCATATCAAGACGCACATAATATGTTTTGTTACTACAGAAATTAGTAAATCATTTTATATAGTCCAATTTCTTTTCTTTTTATTATCTACTGAGTTATTACCTGATTAAGGATACCATAGCCTCACAGATAACTGGATGTTTAAAAAGAACCATGGCCAGAATATGAGAGCAGTGCACAGGGTGTTGTTTTCAGTCCATTTACTGCAGACCTCATTGTTGGTAACTGCCTATGAGAGTTTCCACATATAATAATGGCATGTAGGGCTTGTGATGCAGCCTCACAGAAAGCCGGTGTTTAGCATGTATTTCTTTGCTTTTCACAGAGTGTGTGAGTTTACCCCTCCCCCATCTCCTCCATATGTTGGGTGCCGTTCTGGTCACCGTAATAAAACACTGAAATATATATTTTTCATTTGCTTTGTCATCTTGTCCACAGGCGCAAGCGTCGGTCATCGATACTCAAGAGTCAGCGCCCGGCGCGTACGCCGTTTTCTGAATTGGAATTCAACGTCGCCACGCCCACGGACACTGCCAAGAGTCGTCGCGTCAGCTTCTCGAAACGTACAGGTGTCGCGTAAGTATAATATAAGTTACTTGACATATATCACACACGGCAGTCTGATCTCAAACTATTCAGAACCTGTATGGGAATAGTGTTAATTCGGGGAGGACCTGAAATAACATGGTCCGGGTCCTCCCAGAGGGCATCTGAGGCCGGCCGTCGCTTTGGTTTTTAGTGGAATCACCACATACACCTGACTACTGAATCCCCGAGGAGCAAGAGAGTCGAAGGGATTTTCCACCCCGTCAATAAAAAAAACAGGCAAAACTTGTAATATGGTGCTGCTGCATAGACTGCTGATAAACATACTTATATATGACTAAATACATACATACCGACTGCCTTGGTGGTGCAGTGGTAGCATGCGAGTGCTGTGCCGAGGTCTCGGGTTCGATTCCCAGACCAAATGTTTGGATAATCTGCAAATATTTGTTTCGGAGTTTGCGTGTTTTCTATCAAATATTTATGTACAAAAATAAGTATTCTATCAGTCAATCTAGTTTTTATAAAACAAGCTAGTTTATAACTAGATGGCGTTATGTGTCTGATGTCTGAAAATACTTATCATTATAGATAAATTACACCCAGATATAGAACAAATTATCGTGCTCGTCACACAATTATTTGTTCTGGGTGGGTATCGAACCCACGACCTCCGTATTAGCAGTCAGGGTCACTAACTACTACGTTAACAGGCCCATCAGTATCATCTGTCCTATTCTCATCACTGCTCTGCTCCTAAAAATCGTAGGGTGATGTAACATAACCTATAACATATCTTAAATAATAATCTAGCCAACACAAAAAAGAATCATTCTAACCTGACTGGTAGTTCTATAGATTACCGTTCTTAAACAAACAAACAATCAACAAATAACACTTCAGTTTTATTAGATTAATATAAATTCTTGTATGTTTGAACTTGGCATTACCTTTTTGTTACAACTGCAAGTTCATATCTAAGTATATTTTTATAGAATACAAGCTTTTGCCCGTGACTCCGCCCGAATCGCGCGATAAACAAAATAAGAATATATTTTGCTTCCATCGTCTTAAGTAACTTCCACAACCTGCGCCCGACTGGAAAAATAACTCTCGAACCATTCACCTTTCCTACGTCAAAGCCATGGCAGGAAAGCTTTGAAAGCCTTAGTGGTATATTAATGCAATCAAATGCACGGGAAAGTCATAAAGGGCTAATAACGTACCTTTACCCTTGTTACGCGCATCTCAAATATTATCCACAACATCTAACAAGACCGAACATGTACTACGTTTCTTACGGAATCCTGACTGAAGTTGTGGAAGCAAATTTTTATTTTCCAAGTATTCACATACTTGTATGTAAACGACCCTCTCTATCTTTGATGGTACACTGTAGACATAGGTGACTGGGGTAAACTCAGAGCCAACATATCGAGCGATATACCATCCACAGCTTGAGCGTTGGATTGTAACTGTTTTAGTATGTTAAGAGTGCATTGCTAGTTCACTGTCTCCAACGAAAAATTGGCCTGTGTGTCTGTGAATATCATAATAGGTAAGATCTATATATCACATATTTCCTTAGGTGAAACAATTATTTTTTTCAGAGAATACGTGACAAACGAAGCAACAAACACTTGGAAGCATATTTACGAAGAACATAACAAGTCACTGGAGTCGTCTGGCAACGATTCAGAAGTAAATCCAGCTCGGCAAACGGTCGAACACCTTGGCAGACGTATTTTCGATCAGCAATTTGAAGAAGTAGAAGTAGTAGATTTTATAGGCACACTAGCACCTCCTCGCAACTCCAATACTTCTTTTAACAATATAAATTTCTCTGAACAAATTGCATCCTTAGATTGCACTTCGGATGCAAAATTAACAGCTCCTAATAGTAAATTCGAACTCAGTGCTTTAACCGATCAACAGAGCAAATTATTCTGTAACGATTTCACTGTAACGGGTATAGGTGAAAGTTCTGGAAAAATTGATTTTAACTTCTCAAATATACAACGGATTGGCGAGAAAGACGATTTAGACGAAATCGAAAGAGATCTAGGACGCGTTTCCAATAATGTAGTGTGTTCAGGGCCTGTCGATCATCATAATATGTCAGAGTATATTGAGGTTGATTTGAACATGACACACGTTGCGAAGACAGATGATTGCGATATGTCAATCACAGATACAATTAGCACTCCTAAAGTTCAAGATGTATCCAAAAGTAATTCTATAGATAAAATAAATAATTTAGATAAGGATTGGATTACTGATAAAGAGAATATCGCTATTAATCCTTACGTTACTCCGCCAGAGACTGACAACTTTGCAGTCAATGATGAACCTGATCAAGTTTTAGTTTTCGACGGTAAAAGGCTTACCTTACAAACTGAGAAATGCAGCAAAGATTTTAGACAGACTTTGCTACCTAATACCTCTACCGAAACCCCTCTAAGGAAGACAATAGTTCTTAACACTGATGATGACTTACCGAATTTTGTCGATGATGCAAGTTTGAGGTCCGATGTTGAATATAGAAATAGAAGTTCATATCACGATCCTAGTATTTGTGTCCAAGCAGTGCACAAAGTCGAAATAGTAAAAAGGCCAACAATGAATGATAATGCAGGTAACATGTCTGTAACACAATCATTACCTACTAATATTATGAGCGGTGCTCCCGCAAATATTAAAACGATAATTTACAACGAAAATGAAACAGCAAATATATCGATGACCCAATCAGTCAATGGTCAAATTTTTACAGTAGACAATAAACCAATGGAACGCAGGCGGACGGTAGTGTATGAAAATGAAAATTGTAATATTTCTATTACTCAAGCCCTGCCAACTAATATCATACAAAATGAGAAACCCGAGAGACGTAAAACAATAGTTTTTGATGATGATAAAGGCAATATATCTGTAACACAGGCTCTTCCTTCGCAATTTATCGTTGATCACACGGTTCAAGAAAGACGGAAAACAATAATATATGACGATGACAAAGCGGATGTTTCCATCACCCAAGCACTTCCTTCGCGAGTGATCTTAGATAAGAACAATCAAGAAAAACGAAAAACAATAGTTTTCGATGACGATAACGGTAATATATCAATAACTCAAGCATTGCCTGCAAACATTGTGTTAGAATCTCGTCAAGAGAAACGTAAAACAATATTATACGAAGATGATGCAGGAGATATATCAGTAACTCAGGCCGCTCCTACAAATTTAATTTTAATAGAAAACCCTTCAGCCACAGAACGAAGACGAACTGTATTATACGAAGACGACACAGGAAATATATCTGTAACACAAACAGTTCCTCAAAATATTATACTAAGTAAAACGGATGTTAAAGAAGATACACAAATTTTCGACGCTAATATATCAATGACGCAGGTTCTACCCACTAATATCATAATAAAAGATAGCGATACAAATGGTATTTCCAAAGATCCCAATCCTAAAGACTCCAAACCTTTCGTGTTACATACTCTCCTTGACATGTCTGATCCTGTAGAAAGCGCTATATGTAACCAATATGCGGAAACTAATGTAGAATCTTTGATAGTTGAAGACGACCCGCAACTAAAAAAAGAAGCTCCAATGCTTACCTTTGTTATAGCTGAAGATGAAGAAATACAAATAGATAAAGATGATAGTGGCAATAATGCAAAATTGACTGAAAATTCACAATTGATCGTTGACCACGCTGTTCCAGAAAGACGAAAAACAATAATATATGAAGATGACAAAGCTGATGTTTCAATCACTCAATCACTTCCTTCGCGAGTGATCTTAGACCAGAAAGCCCAAGAAAAACGAAAAACAATAGTTTTCGATGACGACAATGGCAATATATCGACAACTCAAGTCTTGCCTGTAAATATTGTGCTAGAATCTCGTCAAGAGAAACGTAAAACTGTATTAAACGAAGACGTAACAGAAACCATGTCAGTGACTCAGGCCGCACCTACGAACTTACTTTTTACAGAAAACCCTTCAGCCACAGAACTGATATACCAAGACGACACAGATGATATATCTGTCACACAAGCAGTTCCTCAAAATATTATACTAGATACAGCAGATCTAGAAGAAGAAGGCACTCAAATTTTCGACGCTAAAATATCAATGACACAAGCTTACCCCACTAATATCGTAATAAAAGATAGCGATACAATTTTCCATGATCCTAAACCTAAAGAGTCTAAGACCTCTGTGTTACATACTCTTCTCGACATGTCTGATCCTGTAGAAAGCGTCACATGTAATAAAGATGCGGAAACCGACGTAGAACCTTTGATAGTTGGGGACGAACCGGATCGAGAAAAAGAGGGTTCAATGGTTAGCTTCATTATAGCTGAAGATGAAGGAATGCAGACAGACAAGATTGAGAGTGACAATGATGGAGAGTTGAATGAAATCGAAAGTGATACGATCCAATTCATTAGAGATTCCCGAATGTCTGTAGATTATAAACAGCCGGATGAGATTTTGCAAAATACTTTAGCTCAGCTTATGATCAATAGGGGCCAGATGGATAATATTTCTCCTAACATATCCAATACAGATGAAAAAGATGCTCAGCTTAATAACGAAAATGATGAAATGGAAAATATTTCACGCAACATGTCCTGCGTAAATGAGAGAGAAGATGAAAAAGTACGCCCCAAAAGTTTTAAAGATGCAAATGATACTAAAGAACTGCTTGACATGATATGCGATTTCACCGACAACAGCCGCTGTTCGTCTAAAGAAGAGGCTCCTCCAGAAGAAATTTCTCCAGAGAAAGAGGAGCCTCCTGCTACGAAAGCACTTGATTTAAAAGAGTTGCTCGCAATAGAGAATAAAATGGAAGTGCACGAACCGAGGAGACTCAGTTTCGCTACGAAAAGACAGTCTATTATTATTAGCCGAGAAGATTTACTTAGTAATATTTCTATGGCTCAAGCTGTCTTACAGAAATCTCGGGTTGAGTTCGACGAGTCTAGTCTCACAGAGGACAACCAAGATTCTTCTCCAGAAGAACTCAGGCAGACACAGCAGAGATCTAACCGCATGAGTAACGAAGTCGTCAAAACTTTACATTTTGACGACGAATCTTTGAGTGAAAGTAGTATGAAATCTGACCTCAGTAAAACTTGGCCGATTAAGAAAACTGTATTCGGTGAAACTTCGTATGCGAAAGTTAAAACAAATGTTATTCCAAGTTATCTGAAAGACGTTTCTGATGGAATTAAGCAATTGATGTCTGATTTAGTCAAGCCCATGTCTGACGCTATACCTTTTGAGAGTCCGGAAGAAAAAATGAAGAGAAGCATGTCTACTGTAAGCACACAAATACAAGCGAATCTAATAACTTCGAGCCAGATAGATGTGAATACCGACTTGTCTTCGGCAACAGGCTCACACGAAGATATTCCTTGCTATAGATCAGGACGTGGCATCTTAAAAATGCCAGGTTCGTCTGAGATGTCCTCCGAACAGGAAGTGATTCGTAGTGAGTGTTCTGATATATCTGAGCCACCCTGTCGGCAACTGAGTATTCCTGAACCCGTTCTAGTGTTTGACCATGAGAACCCATTGAACAATATACTATTAGGTCCTCTAGACTATAAGCACACGCACGATTACAAGCCATTAACTCCAGTACCCGTAGAGAATTTAGCAAAGGAATCTGAAATAACCCTTTGCGGTTCAGAACGTAGCACATCCTGTCAAATTAACATGGAAATGGACGATAGTTCGATAGATACCGATACAATGGCATCGGAGGCAAAAGATGTTGAAGTGAATACGGATCAAGTTGTAACCCAGTACAGTGTGGCTGTTCATGCAGGTAAGAAGAAGCTAACTTTTCATAAATCGTGCTCTATAGATAGAGCAGTCAACGTCCACAGCAAAGTAGAGGACTCGGAAGTCAACACTGTTATAGCTATGAAGCCGAACAAAGAGTTGCTCGAAACGAGCTCATCACTAACATTAATCGACTCTTTGTCTGAATCGGAATCTAAAACCAATTCACCTCAACAGTACATTGCCAGGAAAGAACGCAGGACGCCCACGAAACCTGTTACTAAACTTAAAGCTCTACCTACAATAGAGTCTGATATTAGTTCAACGGACGATAGTGCTGACCGTTTAATATCTAAAGGCAAAAAACGAACTCACATACCCGTTACACCAAACAGAAGGCATAGTGTGGAAGTTACACCAAAACCCAATAACAAGATGCTGAAAATATCAAGCAGTCCAAATCAAAACAGGCTTTTCTTACGGATGAGTCATGAGCCGTCCAAATTGCCAGCCGAGAGGGACACCGACAGTCAAGAGGACACAAGCCAAATCGAGGATAATACAGATAGTGAAAAGAAACCGCACAGTCATAATTTCGACAGCACCATTACAATACAACAGTTAATAACTGAATACCAAATAGACGCTGGACTAAATAAAGAAATTTTAGACGTTTTAAAAGAAACAGATTATTGCAAATCGGGCAGTTTGACCACAGAAGCGCCATCGCGCTCCGACAGTTTAAATTCAGACAGTATAGATAAAGTATGTTCCTTTACCAGTAGCAAAAACCTTGGGTCCAATGCTATGGCGCAGACTGTAGCCAGTACGGCGTCATCACACAAGTCACAGTCGACTATCCACAGCGCAGAATATTCTAGAACAGACTGGCACCCAGAACTGACTAGTTTAAGTTCAACCAAGAATGTCAATCACATCGATTCTGGAGTGAATATCGTGTCTAAGATAGATATGCTGCCATTTATGGGGTAAGTTTTAGTTGTTTTGTATACAAACATGTTGTGGCTTCGATCCCCACGTGAGATACTTTGTGTGATCCACAAATTGGTTGGTGTTCTGTGTACGTTTCACATATGTTAAGAGTTGTCCTTTTAAACAAAACAAAAATCTGAGATTTAATTTTCATTAATTCGTTTTAAGGAGTTATGAATGTGAACGGGAGACTTCACTAGCGGACACGTGGAGCTTCCGGCTGTTACACGGCCGTATCCGGCTAACTATCCGGCTCGCGCACAGACACGATAATTCGACAAGAACTCGTGTGAGGGCCGACACTCCCGTCACGGACCTCAGTGTTGACACCATTGAGTATGGTATGTATAATTTGTATTTAAACATTATCTACTTTTACATTACAATTGTTTATTCTGGCAACATATGAAAACTATGGGTAATATAAACAATTTTGTTCCCATCACGCAAAGCAAACTGTCAAATTAACATACTGCTATAAAATCACTTACGTACTCATCCGTGTGGTGACAGATTAAGAATACGGAGTGTCATCCCTTGGGTGTCGTAAGAGCCGACTAAGGGAGCAAACTACGCAGAACACTGGCACTGCAAAGAGAAGGAAAACTTGTCACAAACCCTAAACCAACCCGTCTGACTGGCGTGGTGTAATACGCCAAAACCTCCTTTTTAAGGAGAGGCCTATGTCCAGCAGTGGACTATTAAAAGCTGTTGATGATGATCCATACATATGTACTTTACAGACAAGAAGAACCCAGTAGCAATCCTGTGCATCCGTTTTGCATGCGAGACGATGCGGTACATGGTATCCTCGGCCACCGAGACGAAGTACCTGGCGCGGGACGTGCCGCTGCTGCTGCGGCGCTGCGCCGCGGTGGCGCGCGTGGCGCTCCGCTGGGGCCGCGCCATGCACGACGCCAAGCTGCACCTCGCGTACACCCTGGACACGGAGGGACATCTCACGGTCAAGGTGAGGGCTGAGATCACAGCTATCGCACAGACCAGTATTTGCTCACGGCTTCGCTCTCTTTAAATAATAATTGTGCCACTGGCCTACATACATTTTAAACATTAAGTACAGTAAACCCGTTTGAAACGATTTCAGAGGGACTCAGCCAAAAAGGCGGCATAAGCTGGCAAGCGTTTTATGCGGAAATCTGCCGAATAGGGAAAATAAAACTTGTATTACGCGGTTTTTACTGTATTTGTTTAAAAAGTAATACAAATAATTTTCTTCAAATTTTAATAAATAGTATCCATGTGGTGACTAATTAAGAATGCAGAGTGTCACCACCCCTGTTCATCCCGTGGGTGTCGTAAGAGCCGACTAAGGAGCAAACTACGTAGGTCAACAGCACTGTAAAGAGAAGGAAAACTTGAAACAAACCTTATACCGACTCATCTCGCCAGCGTGGTATAGTAGGCCAGAACCTCCTTTCTATGTCCAGCAGTGGATTGTGTGACTATGGATTAATACATAGATATTTTTTCTTCTAGGTGGCTAATATACCACTCCGCTCGGTATGGGAGGTGAGTATGAACCTAGAGTTGGTGGTGGAACACCCTAACCAAGCGCCGTGGCCTCGTGCTAGCGATGTGAAGGTCAAACGCGTAGTATCTGATGTGCCAGTGTCTGACGAGGATATTAGAAAAGCATTGAAGAATACTCCCAATGACTGGGGGCATGCTCCGAAGACGTTATGGTGAGTGTCGAAGTAACTTTTAGTAAACATGGTGATCGATAGGTGGCGCTGTACCCATTGCCTTAAATTAAATCGCGGTGTTAAGAGTCCCTGGCGTTTAATGACACTGGTGATATTTTGTTAAACGGATAATTAGCTACCTCTGTCCATGAACCTGGGTTTTGAGCCCTTCTACCCTTCCCTCACCCCAGAGTTTAAGGATTAGTGGCTCCGGTAACCTCTGTAAGCTCGAGAATACCTTATATAACATTTGTGACATCGATAGTAGATCGGAACTGAATTTTGAACAAATCTTTATAACGAGAATTGATCTCCAAATCATCAAAATCTTCTAATGTATACGGTACCCTAAAATACTAATTTTCCTTGATTTCAGGCGAATATTCAGATATCTGAAACACAAACAGAGGGAAGACGATGGATTGCTCCTGGGGGTTTGAGCTGGCACCGGCCTTCTGCAATATAAATTAATTAAAGCTCACTTTTATGAAATCATTTTGTGTTTAATTATTACTAGATTAGCCTGCGGTTCTGCCCGCGTGTATGTCCTTTTTCGCGGTAAAATGTATCCTATGTTACTCTTTGATAATGTAACTTTCTATTGGTGAAAGAATTTTTAAAATCGGTTTAGTGGTTTAGACGTGAAAGCTAACAAACAAACAAACTTACTTTCATTTACATTACATTTATATGATAAGTATGGATGCAAATGACGAACATTGAAAATTATGAATTGTTATGTAACCGATCATCTCATATTTTACCCCCTTACAGGCGAAACTACCAAAAACCCTTTTTTAGTAAGGTAATTTAAAGTTTGTATCCATGGCGGTTTAGGTTCTGCGTTGATAAATGACTGCACGGATGGCGTTGTGGTTTATGTGGTCGCCATGCCGCTTCCTTCCTTCGAGTGTTGTGAGTTCGATCCCCACATGGGACGACACTGTGTGATCCACAAATTGTTGTTCTGAGAATAGACATAGAGAGAACGGACACAAAGAACACCCAGATTCTTTGTGTCCGTTTCATGGAGGTTTGTAGATTCCCCGCGACACAGGATTAATTATTTTGTGTTAGTTGTCTTTTAAAAAAAGAAAAACAGAATTTAGTCAGTCAGAGCAAGTAATATATATGAAAAGGTGAAAAAAATCATACCTACTCTGCCTGTCTATCGGTATTTTCGCGTTTGTAATATTAAAGGGATTAAGGGGGTGACGGATTAAGAATACAGAGTGTCACCACCCCTATTCATCCCGTGGGTGTCGTAAGAGCCGACTAAGGGAAAAAAAATACGCAGTACAGCAGCACTACAGAGAGAAGGAAAACTTGACACAAACCCTATACCAACCCGTCTGGCCAGCGTGGTATAGTAGGCCAAAACCTCCTTTCTAAGGAGAGGCTTATGTCCAGCAGTGGACTATTAGGATATGTATATAGGATATGTAACCGTTCTGCAATAAGCGGTCGATTCAGTAGAAAGGTTTGTATTAATATAATAAACCGGACTGGCCTGTGGCTCTCGTGGTTAGTGACCCTGACTGCTAAGCCGGAGGTCGTAGGTTCGATTCCCACCCAGGACAAATATTGTGATAAGTACGATCATTTGTTCAGTGTTAATTTATCTATATTAAGTACGTATTTAGTAATATACGAATATGTTTATCAGCAGTCTGGTTACCATAGAACAGGCTCTGTCAAGTTTGGGATCAGACTGCCGTGTGTGAGATGTGTAAGATCATTTTTATTTCATGTCAAACAGTTTTTAGTCATTTTATTTATCGTAAACCAACACCTAAATCTTTGTATGATCTGTAAATATTTGTTTCGAAGTTTGGGTGTTTTCTATGTATAATATGTATGTATAAAAAAAAGTTTATAAGTATGTAGTAAGTCTAGCGTTTTTTTTTACAACTCCCGCACTAGGAATACATCCTGTGTTGCGGTGGACTCTACAAACATACTTGAAACGGACACAAAGAACACCCAGACTCAGAACAACAATTTGTGGATCAGACAAAGTGTCGTCCCGTAGTAATAAGCGGCGTGGCGACCGCTTAAAACACTACGCCATCCGTGCAGTCCACCTATGTTTTAAGTTACGCAGTTTTACTTGTCGGGAAACTTAATTATAGGCTAAGACTCCATTGCAATGTTTAAGTTCGCCCACTATACATGTAACATGTTAGCTGTTAAGTTTACAAATAAATAAATATAAAATATACCTATTATGTAAATAGGACTAAAAATAATCGTCAAAATGTGGGCGTTTAATATTCTTCTCCACCCCTTCGGAGATAAAAGAATTGAGCTATGTGCTTTACGTGTAAAAAAAAACTTCATACATTTTGAATAATAATTTATTTTTAACAATAACAATTTATTTTAATTCATTCTATCGGTCGCAAATCAGCCATTTTCTAGCGCTGTTCTTCGTTATTGTAGACAGGCGAGTGTTAGGTTCACCGGTCACCCATCTTCCATTTAGCAGCCGTCGAGTAGACCGCACCTGGATGACGGGGTGGGAACTCAGAGGGTTGCCGAGTTCTCGCACCGTGTCATACGTAGCGGATGGTCGAATAATCTAGAAATTGATATATCTTAATAGCCTGATTGCCAATTCTCGTAATAAAAGTTCTGTCTCAATTCAGTTTCGATCAACCTTTGATCTCACAACTGTCATAAAAGTTATTTTCGTAGTAAAGTATTAAACATGCAACGTTGTCTGTAATGTGATTATATCTTATTGTATTTAATTTTCAATCGTTATTCTGCTAGTCTTAGTAATACTTTACTATTTTACTACGAAAATACCTTTTAAAACAGTTGTGAGATCAAAGGTTGATTGGCATTGAATTGAGACCAAACTTTTATTACGAGAATTGTCCCACAGGTCTTAAAATTATAAATATTACTATGTGAAGAAAAGTCTGTTCAACAAATATAGCAAAAGGACGCAGATCATAATGAGAAAAGCTGTGGTACTTCCTGAGATTGACGCGTTCAACCAAAAACTTCAGCTTAATAATAATAATATTTTCACACGTCTCACACACGGCCGTCTGATCCCAAACTAGGCAGAGCCTTTACTATGGTAACCAGACTCCTGATAAACATACTTAGGTAGATATTTCTAAATACATAGATATAGTATACCCCGACACAGAAGAAATGACCGTTCTCATCACACAATTATTTGTTCTGGGTGGGAATCGCACCCACGACCTCTGGCGTAGCAGTCAGGGTCACTAACCACTCAACCCACAGGACAGTCAGGTTTATTATATTAGTACAGATCGTTCTACTGAATCGGCTGCTTATTACCCTTTTTTTTTTTTTTGTTTTTTATTCCGTGCGGAAATCCCCTCGGATACCACCTGTCGGTGGCATGTCGGACTCGAACCGACTAAAACCGCACGCCGTCTCGGGTACTAATAGCCGGGGAACCAGGTATACCCTAGAAAGGGCTGCTTATTACCCTGCCAATTACAACGTTGTGTAGATCAAACTGAGGCAATGGTTTGAACGTGATGTTGAAAATACCGCACACTTCGTCGTCCCGCGTCACTCGCATTGACAATAGACCTGGGGATCAAGAACAGTGAACAACCATACAAAAATATGTAATAATGGATTTTAACATGAAATATTTATTTGGAAAAATGTTCATCAGATATGTATCTTCTTTTCTATTCTACAGGCCTATGTCCAGCAGTGGACAAATTAAGGCTCTTGGTGATGTATCTTCCAGTCCCCCCTAAGGGCTTTACCCCTAAATGTTTTTAGGGTGTAGGGGCAAACAAGCTGATGTTACCTGATGGTAAGTAACTACCGTCAATCATGGACAAATGTATCTCAAGAGATAAGTATATTGCCGCCCTTTAAGTAAGCAATTAGAGGCAGAGGTTTCGGCCTCCAGTTGCCTCACTGACTCTTGCCGAGAGGTCGGTCGAGAGGCCCTAAAAATGCCGAAGAATAATTGTGTTATTTGTCCTGGTTATTTAAAATAGATTCCACGACCTCGACCTTAGCAAACAAGATCATCATCAACAGCATTTAATAATCGACTGCTGGACATGGCCTCTCCTTAGATTTTGGCCTACTATACCACCACCAGGTTGGTATAGGGTTTGTTTCAAGTTTTCCTTCTCTTTGCAGTGTTGTTGTCCTGTGTAGTTTGCTCCTTTAGTCGGCGTTTACTCACGTTATAAATAGAGTTGGTGACACTATGTATTCGTAATCCGTCACCACAGGGATCAGAATCATTTACCACTTGACTAAGAAAGTGCAGACTCGTTTAACTTACCAGGCATGGAGTGAGGAAAATGATAGTTCTCAGCACCAATGGGCTCAGTCCGGCCCTTCTGTGCATAACACCCGAAGCCAGTGTTATGGGTTACATCTCCTCCAGACCAGTACAAATTTGGGACTTTCCTAAGCAAAGAGAAAGTTAGTTTTTTTTTATAGTATAGGGGGCAAACGAGCAGACGGGTCACTTGATGGTAAGCAACTACCGGCGCCCATGGACACCTGCAACTCAAAAGTCACAAGTGCGTTGCTTGCCTTGGAGTCCCAGCTTGAGTAAGCGGGACGGGGGATTTGGGCTCCGGTAACCTCACTCACTCAGTGAAAGGCAACGAAAGAATTGCTTAACACCAGTTTTCTGTGAGGCCGTGGTATCACTCCGGTCGAGCCGGCCCATTCGTGCCGAAGCTTGGCTCTCCCACGGTAGATAGATAGATAACTCTTTATTGTACAAGAAAAAAAGAACATAATTATAGAGTAGTTTGTATACATTTGTGTGAGTCTTATAATCCGGGGATAGTTAAACAAAGAAAGTAAAACTAGTTTTATAAAAAAGTTATAAGTACAATTGGCGCCCTTGTCGCGATCTTTTCGCTGGATGGAGAAGGAAATTAAGGATGGCACGGATAGCTGCAATTGTACAGTATGATACATGAAAGAAACTAGTATAATTATTTACATAGCATACTGAACATACACATGCTCCACACATTTTTTTTTTTTTTTTTTGGGAGCTTACAGCTACAGTACAAGTACATCAGTAATTTAGTTGTTGAAGAACCAATAACAAGCTGCCACAGATACACAAGAAACATTCTACTTAAGTTACATTCTAATTAAATTATTAAAGATGTAAATAGATGAAAACAAATTGAAACACATGCAAAACCAAGAGTCACAGCTCACACTGCAGTAGTGCAGGCAACAGTATCAGCAAAGCTGATGGTTAAATAAGATCTAGCACTACCAGTACTTGTACTAAAAAGATCAACAAGATAGGATACATTTGAAATCAGGAATAAGATGTGGGCAGAAACAGGATTTAAGGACACCAAGGTCCTCTCATTGCTCAACAATTTAGGAAATGCTCCTTCAATAAGTTTGTAAAGCTAGCGAGTGTTTGTGCTCGTCTGATGGGCAGTGGTGGGTGGATTCCACAAACGTATGGCTACACAGTAAATGACTAGTCCATAAAGTTATTTTTTTGAATTGTTAATGGTGGTGACGGATTAAGAATACAAATTGTCACCACCCCAATTCATCCCGTGGGTGTCGTAGAGCCGACTAAGGGAGCAAACTAAGCAAGACAACAGCACTGCAAAGAGAAGGAAAACTTTAAACAAACCCTATACCAACCCGTCTGGCCAGCGTGGTATAGTAGGCCAAAACCTCCTTTCTAAGGAGAGGCCTATGTCCAGCAGTGGACTAGTATAGGCTGTTGATGATGTTGATGAATTGTTAATTCAATGAAACGTTCTGGTTTTTCTTTCTGACCATCTGACTGATCCAAACTTAGCCCAAACTGTACTATGGTAACCAAACTGCAAATGAACATAGATATTATATATAAACTAGCTGTACCCAGCCACGCTGCGCTGTGACAAATTGTATTTGCATTGATGAGAAAAGAAACAAAACTAACGCGAAAAATAGATAAAAATTGTATATCGTGTCAAAGGTTGAGCTTAATCGGTGCAGAATTTACAGTTCTTAAAGCGTACACAAACTAACTACATTTAATACATAGATTGCAGAACAAATGATCGTGTTCATGATAACATTTGTTTGTCAGGATTATTAACCGCTATTATGGTGGGAGTCGCCACAGGCCAGTCCCTATCTAGATTTATAAGAGATGAAACAGACAGACTGATCAACGCCACGGAGCAAATTGCAGCTGAAACCGCTGGGTCTAGAAGCGTGAAATTTTGCACAAATGATCTTGAGATGGTGTAGGTATGCACTAAGAAAGGATTTTTAACGATTTCAACCCTAAGGGTGCGAAATGGGATTTGGAAATTTATATGAAACTTCGGTAATCTTGGTAGTAGTGTTTTTAAACTCACTCACACTCATTGTTACTAAACTTGGTAGAAGCAGGCTAACGGGTACTGAGTGATATTCAAACTGCAACCACGCCTTGGTCATTACGCTACCACCACAATTTTGTTGTGTGCAGACTGCGGCGTACCTATTGCTCTTTCGACACCAATTTTTCAGCACCTATGGTTTCCGCATCTAAGCTATTCCACTTACAACACCAATAGGTATGGAAAAATTGTGGTATTTCTTCTTATGCTACATGATGTTAAATATGAAATATTCTTTTACTCGTCGAGAAATAACATCAAAAATGATTGGTAAGCTGAATATATTTAAATAAATATAATTTGCATAAAAATAACACTTTAATCAATTCCTCTGCCTTGAAGTGGAAGGCGTCGAAGCGCTTTGGCTTGGTCTCTCTTCAGAAAACTGATTAACAGCCAAACAGTATTTCTCGGAATGGTAGGTGCGCGATATCTGGGACAGCAAAGGGCTCCCATGGGGAGAGTTCAACCACAAAGATGCACTCCCTGTTTGCCCAACCATCGCTATAAATGCGATTAACATTCTGGTGTTGAGAAGGCCACGCTGGATCTGCGGTTGTTTGAGCAAAGTTTGCATTATCAACCCGTCTGGCAATCCATTAACGAGTTCAAATATACTTGACCCTCGTTCTCCAATTAAATAAGAGGCCGCCGCTGGCACGTTGCAACCGGTGTTTCTCAATGCCATATCAGCATCTTCATTCGAAAACCCTAAATCTTTTAAAGCTTCTATTGCTTCTGCATTCGGTGGGTCAGCAATCTTTATTCTCCATGCACGAAATTTCTCCAGAAACCTTCGAAGGTGTTCAGCTCTACGATACACTTCATCACCCTCATTTTTGTTAGCGACTGAGGGCTCTTCACCCGTATTTTGCATTTCTGCAGCCATTCTAGCTGCAAGTTCTTCCGGAGTGATAACTTGAATTACCGATGGTTGCGTTTTTCGAGGCTCTTCTAAAGCAGCTGATAGTTGAGCTAAAGTCATCTCATAGTTTCTTCCAGATGCTGCAAGACGAGCACCAGCTTCTATCAAAGATATAAGAATCTTGCGCAACTCATAGGATAGTTCGTTGGTAGAAAGTAACGACTGAAGGTTTGGTTGTCGAATGGGATTCTGCGGGGTTGGTAAAGATGCAGTAGCTGCTGCTATCGTGGCATGGTGAGGAGCCCTGACCTGTCCTAAATCCCATAAAGTGCCAGCTTCTGGGAGTCTTCTTTCGACTAGCAATAATTCCTCTTGCATATTAACTTGTTCTTGAGATATAGTCAGGAAATCATGGAGCGTTGAAGTGTCACAGACTCTGATAATTTTGTATCGACTGGAACCTGTTTCTCCTGATGGGTAGAAGTAGTTAATAGCCCTGTTTTTGACTTCTTCAATAAGAGTCTCTTCGGAAAAGTACGCGATAAAAGTTACACCCTCTGGACTAATAACTTTAATAAGAATTTCGTTACCGCCAGCAACACCCGCTTCGGGAACTAACATTTTAACGTCTAAAGAACTCTTGTGAGATCCAAGGCACTGGGTGAGGCCTGTCGTTCCGCTCTCTGCCGAAACTACTGAAGTCTATGCATCTTAGGTGTATCAGGAGAAGAAATAAAGTAAGACTGCTGAAAAGTGTGGTCATACACAAAATAAGTTTGAGCATTATATTTGTGCTTATATTGTGACGAATTTTGACATTTTATTGTTTTCACAACTGACATATTGTTGGAATAGTATTTTCAGTACAAAAAGTTTAGACTAGATATTGCACTTAATGGTTAGTAAAAAGTATTTAATGTAGAGTTCCTTTCCTAGTCTTATTTTTTGTGGAGAGACGAAAAGTTGAATAGATTCTCACAGATCAGACATCACAACATCTAAATTTGCCTTGGGCCCGATTGTACCTAACTAACTGGATCTGGAAACCATAGTTTACAGAAAATTTGACCTTTATCTCCATACCTGAAGAAGCAAGTCCCAACATAGCCATGCCCTATCTTGTCTCCATCCAGAAGTTCTGTGAACAGCTGGCATGTCTGCGGGCATACATCGGTGAAAAGCTCAAAACACAGTTCACCGATGTCAGCGCAGCCGAGGAAACCAATAGTCATGTACACCCTGGAAGAAGCAAGATTCGGTCATTTGGTTAAAATTAGACTTGCAACGAATATTCGGTTACTATTCGGTATTCGGCCTATTCGGCTGCTTTTATTATATTCGGCCGAATACCGAATATCTACATATTATTCGGCCGAATACCGAATACTTAAATAATATATTTTGTCATTGAGAAATAATTGGTAAAATGAAAAATTAAAATCGATTGATTACGTATATATTAATATTTTCATTTCTGTTATAATCATTTAAGTAGTCATTGGTGCATAACACAGGTACATAATCATCTTCTGAATTGGAAAAATGGAGGATTCTATGTATTTGAATTATTGTGGTAATCAAAATTTAGAAGGGTTAGGTTCTCATTTCTTTTATAATCATTTATTAAGTAGTCATTGGTACATAAAACAGGTACATAATTTAATTCACGTCTGTACAAGTTTTTGCCGCTAAAATCCAGCCGAATACTTTTGCCTAATATTCGGCTATTCGGTCAGGGGCCTCGCCGAATATTCGGTATTCGGTATACTGCCGAATATACTATTCGTTGCAAGTCTAGTTAAAATAACAGAACTTTTTTAAGTTTATTCTTTTAGCGCAAAGAGGGAAATTAGTAAAACTTTAACGACTCTTTTTAGATCAGAAAACGGGCGACCGTTTTTGTACCCTCCTTTTTCGAAGTAATCGACTAAAAAGTTATGAAACTACAACAATTCAAAAGAAATCTAGCTTAAAGAATAGTCACACCTTGGTCTCTTAACTCCCGGTGGTGATATGAATGCAGCATCCTCAATAATCTCCTGGGGTGTGGGAGGGAAGAGCACGAAAGCGTTTTCGGCGCGGAAAACTATCTCTTTTCGATTGCGGGACCAAATGCGTCGAAGAGACGCTGTTGACTCCACGCGAGAATCCTAGAAGATATTCTCAGAAGTTTCATTTATCCTACTTTAAATATGTTAGTAATAGTATGCAAACAAACTGTCAATATAGTATTCTGTGTGTAATTAGATTTTTAAGGAACGAATCTTCAAAGCATCTGACATGGAAAGACCTACACGCTACAAAATGATACATTAAACACTATATTTAAATCATAATAAAGCATAAATTTCTCTAAATTTGTAACAACTTATTATCCCTAAATTATAATCGTAGCTAGTACCTTGTACATTTACTAGCTAGCTAGCTAGTACCTTGTACATTTACTAGCTAGTACCTTGTACATTTTTCTGAACTGAGAGTTCTTACCGTATTGTTGATGCGTTTATACAGGTTCAAATTATCGTAGTGAACCCTTTTTAGGAAGTCCACTCTCGTCTGGTAGTACTGCAGTGAACGGCGAGGCTCGAAGGACCAATGACAATCCACTTTGCCCTGGCAACATATTGAGTTTATTCGTAGGACCAAACCACATTTGTTTGGATTCCTACCTGATTACTGAAATTTTCTTTTAACCCAAAAATTGGGTGGCTATTTCAGGAGATGCATGAAAATACGATAGAAAAGGAGAAAATGTATGGAATTCCTTTGAGGAATTCTCATAACCGTGGGAGAACCATGATCCAGCACAAGGAAAGTCCGTTGTATCACACAACGGCCTCTCAGAAAACCGGTGTTAATTATTTCGTTAATTTTCACCGAGTGAGGGAGGTTAATAATAATAATAAAGCCTTTTATTTCCTAATTACAGTAAATATTTAAATTTTTGTGAAACTTATTTTTAAAGGAATAAAATCTATATTTAAGTTCATTTTTCTGTCTGCCTCAGGTGAAGGCCTCTTCCAAGGATTGACATTTTTTTTGATCTTGGGCTTCTACTAAACCATCGTTCACCGTCACAACCATTGCCAATAAGGTTGTCTTACTATCTGACAGACAAGCAATGACAAGAAAAGAATGACACAAATGTTGTCTAATAGCTTTTGGTCCTTATCTAACGTATTACTAACTGTATATCTGCATCACGCTTGCGCATGATTACAGTGACCTTAGCTATGAGTATACCATCAAGTAACTATTTGTCGGTTGACCCGATTGAAAAACAGAAAATGTTTATTCGTTTGATAAACACCTAGATAAATTTATTCCCAAGTTAGTTGTCTGACAGCATAACTGAGGATTTCAAAAACCGACCCTAAGAGTTTCCTAACAGAAAACCCAAGGATAAATTATCCAGTCCAGTATTTTTTCCTTCTCAAATCGCAGAATCTCTAGTACAATTTTATGAATTTTTCTTCTGATACTCACTTACCCCTGAAAGCTGTACTTTTCTAATCAGCATCAGCAGCCTTTCATTTTCCTTCCATAACTGTTTTAGATTCTTACTCCAGTACTCCAGATTGTGGTAACGCTCGCTGATGTTCAGTCGCGGAGGAGAGGAGTCGACTCTTGCGTGGACGTGGTCGTACTGGAGAGGATTATAAACATACATGCAAATACTTACGCCTGTAGCCCTAAAGGGGTGAGCCGTATTAATCACCGACATTTCGCTGACTATAGGTTTAGGAAGAAATCACTTCCTTGTCCATATGTCTAACGGTTTGTCTGTCAAGACTTATTTTTCCGGGAATTTATTAAGGTATCTGCTCGGTGTGTGCATGAGCGATGATATTCACTTACCATCAGATGAGCAATCGGCTCGTTTGCACTCTATTCCATAAAAAAAGTTAGAAGGTTCGGATTTTAAATTAAACTTTTAATTTTCAAATCTAAGTCTTTTCAGAATTAGAAAAAAAGAAACACCAAAAGACATTTATAAATTAAGGGATCTAGAAATACCGCCATAAATCTACAATGTCGTATTCTATAGATTTGGAAATTTCTGATAATTTTACTATTTATATATTATATTATCTTATAACCTTACTATGTTCTTAAATAAAAATGATGAACGTAGAGATAGTACTATCTGAGATTTAGACTATGCCACTTTATGCACGCGATTGGATTGAGGGCCGCAGTTATTTAATCATAACAGTTTGACTGCACGAATGGCGCATTTGTTGAAGAGGTCGTAACGCCCGCCGCTACCTACAACGCGGAGTGTTGGGGTTTCGATCTCCACATGGAACGATACTTTGTGTGATCCACAAATTGTCCTTTGATATATTCCTAATACGGGAGCTCTTTAAAAATAATAATAATTAGAGTTTAAGAAATTCGTGGCCATTTGCTTTAGGTTTTTACTATTTTTTAACAATTTGCCTTTAAGTCTTATTTCATTTCGCAAGGATTTTAAAAATAGGCCCCTTGATCCAGGTGCACACCAATCATTTTGTTAAAACATGGCTTTAAGATTATAGCTGTCACATTGTAATAGAGTAGTAAAGATGTGAATAGAATATGTAGATATGTAGTTCGAAATACCAAACCTTGTAGGCTCTTTTCTTTATTTTTGGGGCGAGGTTCTCTGACGAGATTTCTGGCGGCGGTGACATGTATTTCTTTTCCTGTTTCTGATTTTCCGTGATTTGAGCTTTATCTAATATGGCTTTAAATTTCATACTCAAAATTTGAGATAATTATTTACATTAATTTATTCAAAATAAACTATATAATATTATGAAGTGCGATCATGGTATAATTATTTGAAATCTATACGGCTTTTTTTAATACAAGCTATTAATGTGGCTTTACTTTGTGTTTTATAAAACAAAGATGGCGTAGGAAAGTACGGTTTACCATGTAGTTAGGACTACTCCTAGACTAATACGTGTCCTTTGCAAATATTGCAGGCTTGCCTTCGTAAGTTGAACTAATAATCATACCCAGTGGGCTAGGTTTAGCGTGTAATGCGCCGCTATTTAATTGTCTGTACACAGGCGTGAGTGCATATACCTACAAGAATTTCGGCAAATGTGTCTTGATTTAACGGACAAACCAAAAGACATACGGACAACGAAATGATGACATGAAGATACTTTTTCACTTTGAGGAACTGAAAAGCTTGCAGTACAGTAGACATCAACAGTAGTAGTTCTTGAAAAGCTGGTTTTTAAAATACACACTCATTTTATATGTTACTAATAATTACTTTTCTGTTAAATAATATTCTTCAATGTCGTAAATATAATATTATTATTCTGGATGTTATATCTATGTTTTTTTTTATAAAGGGCAAAAGGAAGTGCCTACCGCCACCCATGAACGCCTTATTTTTTTTTTTTTTTTTTTTCCGTGCGGCAATCCCCTCGGATACCACCTGTCGGTGGCATGTCGGACTCGAACCGACTAAAACCGCACGCCATCTCGGGTACTACCTATGAACGCCTACAACTCAGCCTTTAAGGAGTACACTCTTTTCTTGAAGGTTTTGAAGGTCGAATCGTTCTGGAAATACAAGTTGTGCCACAGATTAGTTGCTACCGAGGTTAATTAGCTGTAAGCTGTAAAGAAGTAAAATAAGCCTTTTTACCTATTATAGTTATTTTTATTATTCTTTCGGTCCAATGTAATTGGCCAACATAATCAGCAACTGTCATTAATGACAGCTCTTTGAACGTCAACGGCTGGCATGAGATTTTAAAATTTTTAATGAAATTTTTCCTGTAACGTTTTAGAAGTTAACAAATATGAGATATCATTCTAAGCAATACAAATACAAAAAATCATATGAATCCATTATACATAAGAAGTGCTACAAATTAAGAAGAATGTGGGGTTCACTGAGCAATTTTCTGAGTCCATCTGGCATAGACCTCGACAACATAAGCGAAGCCATCCGAATTAATGTTAGTATTTAGATCATTTAGATAGATAGACTATCACACCTATGAATGCGTCAAAATGAATGTCTAACTGTTGGCCTCTAAGTTCCTTTCTGCTGTAGGTGTGAGTGTTGGCATTGTTGTCGTTGTCACTATCAAGGCTGGAGTTTCCCACACCACGCACACGCAAAAGTAATCCCGTTTGTTAGGCGGGCCCCATCTAGGCCTGTAAATGATCTCAGCGTTATTAATATGCTAAATAAAAACCCAACCTGGGTGTTAAATATGTTCCCTAGTTTAAAAAGTTAGAGTGTGTGCCTATAGATAGAAGCTCAGCGTAGACAGTTTCAAAACAGCAAACAACTGTAACTATTATATGTTTTTATAAAAAATACAGTAGAGCGTTACAAACTACTTTACATCTCTGTTTTACATAAAACTATATAATAGGCTAGTTGACTCAATTTGAAAACTTGGTTAATTATATACTTGAATATCTACTTTATCCCAAAAAACCTATATTTTAAAGAAAAAGCAATATTAACATTACGTATTTTGTATTTAAAACAAACAATTTAAAGTTGCCTTGAAAACGCTGAATAGTGTCATGGCGTCTTGAATGACGTCACAGTCTGCGAAACAAAACTGTTTACATCTGTGTCCAGTTTCAACTGAAACTGTATTCAGGTGAGAAAATATGCTGAAAACGAAAAACAATAAGGAGTAACCTGCTCTGTTGTATGAAAACGTCAACAACAACAATGATGTTTTGCGTTTCGTGACGTAACACTTTCTGATTGGTGTTCGCTGTCACGTGACTTAATGCCTATTTTGTTCAATTTTTTATAATAATAATCTTTAACTTTTATGAGAAATAGACTGTTTTTTTCTTATCTATGTCTCTATATTTATAATCGGAACCTATAAACCTAGCAATTTGTTATTAGTGGACACAAGCCTATTGCAAAATCAATTATTGTAACAGAGTTTGGTACAAATGTTATGGGAAATTCGAATTGATATTTTCATTCATTTTAGTGGTCATAAGAGAAACAGTCGTAAATATTTTCATTTAGGTACAGGTATCTTTTTATCTCATTTAGCCCCTATTTCATAAAAACTTAAAACAATCAATGTCACCGTAACACTAGATCTCAAAGGTGAAATTATTAAAACCCTGAATAAAAATCTATATCTATATGAATAAATAAATTATCAAATGTTGATGTATCTTTTTTTTTTGTTCTAGAGATGTAAACGAACCGAAGGCAAAGGGGGGTGGAAAGTGTTGCCAAAAGACTCTTGGGATCTTTACAATAAATATAAAAAACGTCGCCAAACCGTAAAGAAAGACATTATAACTAAAAAGAAATCAGAAAAGCCAAAATCAAACGGCAAAAGGTCTCGCGCGAGGACCCTCATCAAGTCTAAGAAACTTATTCGGAAACGTAAATTATGGGTACAGGTAAATAATAATCGAAAAAAGAAGAATTTGAAAAGAATGAACACGAAGAAGCGAACATATAAAAGGTCTTACGGACAGTCGAAGAGGAAACCCCGATAAGTTGTTCCGAACACCAATATATACTAGTTTATAATAAAATCTTGTAATTTTTGTCACACTATTAGAAATGTTCAGACAACTTTAGATAACATTATTTATAAATATGTAAAATAATTGCATGCCGTCTTAATGCGATAAACTTGTGGTAAATTAAAATTTCCTGTAAATTTACTAAAGACTGAAGAATACACGAAAAACTATTCAAACTTGTAAGGTTAAATTAAGGAATCCGAAAAACTAAGAGCCGGTCTCTTGAACAGCTAAAAATTTAAGTATGCACGCCTGCAGCGTGTATACCTGTATGAAAGGAGTATGCAGTATACCCCTTGTGTGTATGACAGTCATACACATCTACACACATTAAAGGCTCTGTCATTCGACTATGGATAAGTTAAAATATAAAAACAATACAAGTTGGAATTCACTTGAACATATTCATATCAATAAGTAAAGTACCCAACATAATACAATTATTTAATTAAACTATCATATACAGACACTCAGACACAGAATCACTTATCACTATTGTTAACTGACGCATACTTCACGCTACAAACACAAAAACTTCTCACACACACATACACACACATACACACACACACACACACACACACACACACACACATACACACACACACACACACACACTCAAACATACATACAAACACACACACACACTCAAACGCACCACAATACATCGACTAACTTAACCGCGCGGGTGTGAATCCTGAAATACAGTAATAACTACTATTGACCTAGTTTAGACAAGTACACCTCAAACTACAACTTTGATTTTTGCACTAATTCTTTATCATTCACTGTACAGTGTCGTTAGTGGTGGAAATAAACATATTTTTATTTTATTATAACAATCAACAAAAATACAAATTATAAATATGAAATACTAAAAATTCTTCCTGTATCCTTGATCTACACCAACGCAAAGCTTACCACTACGTTATTCTCATGTGCGTTGAACGAAACGTGTTTGTCATATGACTGTCGTCATCAGCGCTACCAACATAATCAGCCCATCCACCATTTTTGTGCAGCTGATGTTTGTTTGAGAGAAAATAATTTAGAATAATTTCTAAATAAATTCTCAAAATGGGTGCCTCTGTAGTCCCCATCGCTGTTTTCACCATTCTATGGGGTATTGTGGGTATAGTGTGCCCCTTCTTCGCTCCTAAAGGACCCAACAGGGGGTAAGTTAAAACCCACCTAGACTTGAAGTAATTCGACTATTTCAGCGCTATAACACCTACTTCCTTGTATTATTTCAGGATCATCCAGGTGGTGTTAATGCTAACTGCCGCTACATGCTGGTTATTGTAAGTATTTCTTATTATTTTTTATATAAATGAGTCATAGGAACCAACACCAATACTGACACTTTAATGAGAACAATTTCGTCTCAAAAACTTTATTGTAACTATAAAGACGTTTATATCTTAAATTTATTAAATGTAGGCATTTTGTGTATACAGTGCGTAATTTATTAAAATAAATTTGGTTACTTAAGTCATGTGAGTAAGATAGATACAGTTAATAATAATATTTATTCTTCTGATATGTGAATTTAAGAAAAAGTTAGTAATCTGAGGTTCTATCAGTATCAGAGTACTGTCAGCATATTCTTATAAGACTATTATATTTCAACTTCACATACATATATAATTGCAACTTTATGCTTTACTAGCTGACCCGCACATCTTCGTCTGCCTCTCTCAATAGTAATAAATTTTCTCCGTTTTTGAACCATTCTTCATTGGTGCTCCGCTCCTATTGGTCTTAGCGTGATGATATATAGCCTATAGCCTTCCTCGACAAATGGCCTATCTAACAATGAAAGAATTTTTTAAATCGGACCAGTAGTTCCTGAGATTAGCTCGTTCAAACAAACAAACAAACTGTTCAGCTTTATAATATTAGTATAGATTTAACTTTTTCAATGATGACCCATAATGTAGGTTAAGTATTAGTATTATAAAAGCTTTTTAAAATATTAAAACATTCTTTCTAATACAACCCGTCACTGTTTCAACCCGTTTATTAAATCTCACGCTCACTGTTCTCCCCTCTTTTTTGTTCCTGTGCGAAATCCTCTAGATTACCACCCACCCGTGGGGTGGTTGTGTCACTGTTCCCCCCCTACTGGTAGTAATGTGATGATGATTAATAGATGATTTAGTATAGATCAGTGGATGGAAGAAAACTGTTTCGATATTTATGTTGTAACGCTTTACTTTGCTAATATGTTCCTATAATTTTTTTCCAGCTGGCTGTGTGCATATATGGCACAGATGAATCCACTTATCGGACCCAGACTTGACAACGAGACCCTCATCTGGATTTCACACACATGGGTAAGCATGTCTTTTACTACTCATTCTAGCAGTTGACCCTGGACACTGCTGTACCATTGAAGGTCTTGGTGTCTCAAAATGGAAATGAAACTTTTGGAATTGACAACCAGATGGCATAGAGGTTTGTGTAACCGGCTGCTATTCCAAAGGGCGGGTTTGATTCCCGCTTAAGTCAAACATTTGTGTGCATGAACATTTAATGATTGATTTAGTCTGGGTCTTTCTATGTATAATATGCATTTACAAAAAATATATATATATGTATTTATATCAGTTGTCTAGTATCCATAGTACAATTTCTGCATAGTTTGGAACTAGATGGCGTTGTGTGAATGTGGTAAAATATTATTATTATTTATTTAAATCCTACTAAATTAGTATGTTGGCGTTCAACATTTAATTAGAATATTATAAAAGACCTACTTAAATATATTACCATTCATTAAAGCTTAATGTTATTGAATGTTATTTATTAATGATATACTGTTTGAATAAAGTGTATATTTTGAGTGCGCCCATACCATCACTGTAGCTGGTTCCTTGCCCTTTGCTTTTTCAAATGCATCACATCAACAGCCTTTGACAGTCCACTGCTGGACATAGGCCTCTCCTTAGATAGGAGGCTTTGGCCTACTATACCAGGCTGACCAGACGTATTGGTATAGGGTTTGTATCTTAAAATGAATACTACTCCTAAAATTACTATTTCAATAATAATTTAAATAAATAAAATTGGACATTAATATAATTTACTTGATTTAAGTCAATCCAGTGAAGCCAGTGGTGTGAATCCTGGGTTGTAAACCCAATCACAGTAGAAATGGAGCTCTGAAGGTCAATTCTCGGAATAAAAATTTGTTCAAAATACATTTCCAATATATATACTCTTTTTGTTAGTGAATAGTGTTAGTATTTATAGTGTTATATAGCTATCGAAGTGTAAGCTAACACATATTCAAACAGAGATTTAGCTGATTAGTGAAAAATATTACAGAAATCATAACATCACAATAATAAATAAGGAAATGGTTCAGGCTCCCTATTAATGAGGTGACATACATAGTTATAACAAAATAATATGCATGTAGTCTGCTTACACTTTCAATCTCACAAATGGCATAAAAGGTATTCTCTTAGTAAAGCATAAACATCTAACATTGACAGTAATGTGATTATATTGTATTATCTGATTAAATTTTAATTGGTATTCTGCTAGTCTTATACATAAAATACTACTTTAATACGAGACTACTTTTATTGTGGTCGAGGGTAGATTGGAAATGAATTTTGTAATTATTTTTATAACAAGAATTTTATTGACATTCTGGTGAACACATTGACTTGCAGAGACAGCACAGTCCTGCCTCAGTTGGTTTTCTATGTTGTTGCTTCTTAACATCAGAATTTTCATTGAGCAATGCTTTGCAACTTCAACCTTGTTGAGAGTTCCTAACAGGACCGTCTCTAGCCTGTTGGAGGCCCCGGGCAAATTAGCATAATGGGGCCCCTACGAAATTAGCTGAGCACTATTTTGTTAGAATGGACAGAATTAGAATTATGTTTTTCGGTGATAAATATTGATTTTCGATTGGTGATCTGGCAGGAATCGGGCCCCTATCGATCAAGAGGCCCTGGGCACGTGTCCAGTAGGAAAGAGGGGCCTGGTTCTTAAAGGTCCAAGTTCTGTAGTTTGATGTTATAAGGAGTATAAATAAGTTATTATAATTATTTTCATCAATAACTATATGTATGTAAAGATTAACTTTATTATATTTATACATAATGTCTCATGTTATCATGTAAGTGATTTTACTTTACTCTTGTTTCAGGGCAACCGTATCAAGTAATTGTTGGCGACATGAGTGTCGAAGTGTATTTTAAATACTATTTAATGTTGAATTCAATTATATAAGAAGACCTCTCTGTGTATTGAAAAAGAATCAAATGTAAAATTAGGTATTTTTGAGGATACTGCCAACATAATAAACATAACCTTAGTGTTGTTAATTTCAAGCATTAAAACTCTTTTGGCAGGTGTATAAAAAAACCCCTTTCTTGTTACCACAGAAAAATTGTTGTCTATGGTAACTATGAATCGTTTACACACGTTCTCGTAAAATTATTTACATTGTTTTATTTAAATAATTTATCATTACACTAAATATTTTTCAAATAATACTATAACCGCATCTTTGTACAAATTCTCTAATATATTGTAGATAATAAATTTATTTCAGTTTAAATAAGTTATTTTATTAAAATTTTCTGTCAGATTAAATAATCAGAAAGATGTTTGTGCGTTCTCTAACAGATTGTTTTAATGGTAGAGTGAGCAAAAGGATAAACTGATGTAAATGACTATACCGCCCACGGACACCTACAACTTAGGAGCGTGGGGGGAGGGGGGGTTTACCGGTAACTAACCTCACTAGGTGAAAAGCAACGAAAGTGCTTAACACCACAACATGTCTAACGTTTTTTAATGGCATAGAGAGCAAATGACCAGTCGTTGTAGTTTATACATTTGTATCAATAAATATGATGAATCCATAACAACTTTATGGTCAAAATTGAGAAAAATTGTCATTTGAAACTATAAGGAAAAGATTTATATAATTTTCCAAATATGACAATACTTTTGATATCACCACTGAAGAGCCACTGCCATTCCCAATTGCCAATGTAAATACAGTTAAAGACACTAAGTTAGTGTAGACTACCGATATTTTGACCGATTTCAACGGTATATCGATGGCATCTCAAATAGAGTATCAATGGAATAACAGTGGCTAGTCCACTAAATAGCAGAATTGAGGCCTAGCCGCCAGCCGCTTCACCTGACGGTAAGGGAACAATCGGTGTTGTTATTTTTTTTCGTTGTTTTTTACTGAGTGAGTGAGATTACTGGAAGTATTAACCCCCCTCGTCGCAGTCGGTAGCCCCGTCGCTCCCTTACCAAAAAAGAGTATGTATGTGAATTAAAATATTATCTAAATTATATAATCATGCTTTATCCATTGATATAATACTTACATAGATGAGTAATTACCGCCTAAAATCGTTGCTACTGCACATCTGTCCACAGGCATATGCGTAGCAAACGTCAATTCAGTATTCAATGTGGCGTCAACCATTGATATAATACTTACATAGATGAGTAATTACCGCCTAAAATCGTTGCTACTGCACATCTGTCCACAGGCATATGCGTAGCAAACGTCAATTCAGTGTTCAATGTGGCGTCAACCGAGTTGAACATAGCGACACATGACAGTAACAATCGCCAAAATGGGTAAATGCGTAGTGAAAGAATGCGATTCAAGGTCACAAAACCATAATAAATCATGCGAAATTACTTATCACGTGTAAGTTTATGGTTTTTGTATTGATAATATCGTAAATAAGGCTATAATTGAAATAAAACATTGATAATTGTAATTTAGAATCAGTGTTACCATTAAAAAATCATTTTTGTTTTCCCACATTAGTGGGAGAATTTATAATTTATGAAATAATATGCTTTATACTGTTTTTAAACATTTTGTCAATAATAATAAAATATAGGAAGAACGGTAGTTGTTAGGGCTGAATCAATCACTTTTTTTAGGGACCCGTTGAACGTTCACCTTCTGCCAAGCTCGCAGTGCTGGAGACTTTTGTATAAAAGAATTAATTAATTCATTCATTCATTTTTCTTAATTAATTATCAAATATAAATAACAATTGTACAAAAAAAAATATATATAAAATAAAAAAGTAAATAAATATAAATAAAAGAAATTAAAAAAACAAAAAAAAAATATTTTTTTTTTATATTTTTTTTTATTTGTATTTTAAAATATTAAAAGAATTTGCAACACACCCTGGGGATTATTTATTATCAGTACAAGTTGATCATTCACTTTTACTATTAAATGCCATTATTTATACATAGGTAAAAATAAGATTGTATCATGAAAGTAAAATATTCACACAAACTTATAAAAAAGAGTCTAAAAGACAATTGTAAACAAAACTGATGCTTCATAGTGGAGTTTGATTTTACACTGAATATAAACCCTTTTAACCAAATATTTCTATTTATTTTATTATTTATACCTATTCCATTCAATTTGAAATATATTATTTAAAATATTTAAATTAATTTATTTTATTACAAAATTGTTTAAAAAAAAAAATGTTTCTTGGTTGTTATGGGTAAAATTTCATACGGTAGTCAACACTGGCCCACCATCGTAAAGTTATGTCTTTGTCTTTGTCTAATCCGAGCGATGGTATTGTTCTTGTCTCGCGTGTAAATGAGACATAAGTATGTTTACTTTCAAATGTTTCGTGGTATCAAAGCTACGTCGTCAAAGTTCAAAAGTGGTTACACTTTTTTCGAAGTGTGATAATGAGGTTTGCTTCTCTAGTGTTGTTTTAACTCAATGGCGTCAACCGAGTTGAACATAGCGACACATGACAGTAACAATCGCCAAAATGGCTAAATGCGTAGTGAAAGAATGCGATTCAAGGTCACAAAACTTTAATAAATCATGCGGAATTACTTTTCACGTGTAAGTTTATGGTTTTTGTATTGATAATATCGTAAATAAGGCTATAATTGAAATAAAACACTGATAATTGTAATTTAGAATCAGTGTTACCATTAAAAAATCATTTTGGTTTTCCCACATTAGTGGGAGAATTTATAATTTATGAAATAATATGATTTAAACTGTTTTTAAACATTTTGCCAATAATAATAAAATATAGGAAGAACGGTAGTTGTTAGGGCTGGACCGATCACTTTTTTTAGGGACCCGTTGAACGTTCACTGCGAGCTTAGCAAGCTCGCAGTGCTGGAGACTTTTGTACAAAAGAATTAATTCATTGTTTTTCTTAATTTATTATCAATTTTAAATAATAATTGTACAAAATAATAATAATAAAAAATGTTTATCATAAAAATAAAAAATAAAAAAGTAAATAAACATAAATATATTTTTTTTATAAAATTTAATTAAAAAAATTTTTATTTTTTTTTATTTGTTTTTTAAATTATAATAGAATTTGCAATACACCCTGGGGATTATTTATTATCAGTACAAGTTGATCATTCACTTTTATTATTAAATGCTATTATTTTTACATACGTATATACGTACGTACGTATATATACGTATCATGAAAGTAAAATATCCACACAAACTTATAAAAAAGAGTCTAAAAGACAATTGTATACAAAACTGATGCTTCACAGCGCAGTTTGATTTTACACTGAATATAAACCCTTTTAACCAAATATTTCCAGTTATTTTATTATTTATACCTATTCTATTCAATTCGAAATATATTATTTAGAATATTTAAATTAATTTATTTTATTACAAAATTGTTTTAAAAAAAAATTGTTTCTTAGTTGTTATGGGTAAAATTTCATACGGTAGTCAACACTGGCCCACCATCGTAAAGTTATATCTTTGTCTTTGTCTAATCCGAGCGATGGTATTGTTCTTGTCTCGCGTGTAAATGAGACATAAATATGTTTACTTTCAAATGTTTAGTGGTATCAAAGCTACGTCGTCAAAGTTCAAAAGTGGTTACACTTTTTTCGACGTGTGATAATGAGGTTTGCTTCTCTAGTGTTGTTTTAACTCAATGGCTTTATCACGATTGAGCCGAAATTAGATATCTATGTAGTATTGACAGAAGCAAGGTTATTTATCAATTGACGTACAACTGCCAACTTTTAAACTATTCCAACACTCATTTTGACTTCCCGTTGTATTAAAGAAGCACGAAATATAAAAAAAAGTTTACACTCAATGTAGAAAATAGGTTTTACCACAAAAAAGTTTAATACTAGGTCGAGAATATGTGTGGTGTTCGCCATTAATCGAATGAAAAACAGACCTCAAGACTAAAAATTCTATTATCTATGTGTATTAAAATAATAGGTAATAATTGCTTATCAACTCTCAATTAGGCAATTACATCTAAGAAAAATAAGAATTTAAATGGATAACCTTTTTCAAACAACAACTGCACTATAATAAATAAATAATTGACGGGCTTTCACGGATTGCGGAGTTCGGTAATTTATTAAAAGGGTTATAATAACTATAGTCAATATTTAGGGCTGTCAGATTTGCCTTCATAAGTTATTATTACCTTATTACTATTATTTTTTTGTTTTTTCTATGAATTTGTATTATAACAAAACAACTATGCATTCTAATCACTTTACTTAGAGTGTTGTGTCTAAAAACATGGGTTGTTCGACTAGTAAGTGTCACTACGTAGCCTTGCTAATGGTGGACGGGATCGTCTTTTACTATGGGCTTGATAAAATAAAGCACAAAATCACTTAACAAGTTACTGACAGGAATATGCTTGTGGTTTCTGTATGACATCATTAGAAATGGATAAAGAAGCACGGGAACAAAGATTACAAACATGGTCCTGGACCATGTGTCCAGAATTTGAACAATCGAAGGCAGCGTGTGCGCCTGGAAGAATAATTTTCATCTTGGTGGAAAACGTCTACCGGCGTCCCGCATGGTGGCGTTTTATTTACTTTACTTTTCACTTTATTTATAATCTCTATCACTAAGTCATTGGCCCCATCCTACCACCTTCATGCAGATGATTTTCAAATATATACATGAGCACCGTTACATCAATTATGTGAAGCCTTTTCAACTATCAGTCTAGACCTGGCGCGCGTGTGTGACTGGAGCAATGAATATGGAGTTGTAGTGAATCCGTCTAAGACCCAACTTATTGTTGTGGGCAGTCCCGGGATGGTATCAACATCATGTTTAACGGTACTGCACTACCAATCTTTAGTGGAGACCACAGACCA